TATTGTAATGTAGCATTCAGCTTTTCGTGAGGTAGATCAACACAATTACAATATGAGCTTTCTGATCAAAAGCAAAATATGTGTTTAACAGCAATGTACTGATCACTTAACAATACTTTTATTCTTCCATTATCATATTCTTGCATCATACCGAAGTTCACACAATTAACAACAGTGTGTTGACCATAAATACTTCGTTCATACAAACAACTAGTTTATAATTTTATGTAACAGATTGACGAGAAAAACAGGCCTATTTTGGTGATCGATGCCATAAACAAGAAAAGAACACACTAAACTTGTAAAAATGTGTGCAGCAGCATTGTCAGTGTCAACAAATTCATAATTTAATGCTGACAGTCTCCTCTAATCACATGACTGTTCACATGTGAGATGGACAAAAAGCACGCTCCGATAAGAATGAATTTCCTTATCATTTTTGCAAATTTAAAACTATAAAAGGAAAGAATTCTGTGGTTCTCATGATTTTTTTCAATAACTTGTTGTTCATTCATCAATTGTTATTTGCCAACACAGGTAGTGAAGAGGGTGATGACGGTTCAGAATATGTGTACGCAGAGGAACAACTTAGGTATGATGTTGAACACTTACTGGATGGACCTAAGCAAGAATCGGACAAAAGATGTGCCCGTATTGTAAAATATCTCAAAGATCTAAACTATCAAACGCTGGGTAAGGATCTAGAAAGATGCAACAGGTACATGAACGGGCAAAGATTCAATCACGAGTATTCAAAGGCAATACAATTTGTCTACGAAGCAGAGAAGTTCAGCTTGTATTTTTCTGCTCAACAGGAAGGTAATGTAGAGCCAAGGGAGGGATTGAAAGTTTTTATTAATGAAACGAAGATTGAGATGATGAAAGGTGTTTTTAAAGAACTCGACCGTGTGTATTTGACAGTTGTTGTTCGCAGTTCCCTACAAAATTTATCTGATGTCGATCTTAGTAATACAATGCAGCAATTTGATTCCATTACCGATTTATATCTTCTAAATTTGACACATCTACATGCACATCAGAACGGTGAATCTTGTAAAACAGTGCAAGATTTTATTAGTCTCGAAACGATTCCAAGATTACGTACACTTAAAATGAAACATATGTTAGTTACGGATGAGTTTCTAGAAAAAGTGAGTAACATGGCACTAGAAAGTCTAAGTTTTGCTGAATGTGTTTTTCTCACTTTCAAGGATACTGTGCAACAATCGGAAGAAATTGAGGTAGCTTTTGGAAAATCATATGAGACTATCTGCTTCAATAAGTGCCAGAGGTGTTTTGACTATCCATATTCTCCGGTTAGTAAAAAAAGTGTAATAATCAAAATCAATCTAAATAAGTGCACAAAACTATGCAATCTGACGGTAAACATGGATAAATATGCGAGTGTTGTACTCAGTGACCAAATAGTAAGTGATCCACAGTATTTATCATTAGGCGAGAAATATTGTGAACAGCTGCTTTCGTCTTCTCAGTGTTATGGTGCTAGACCAGAATACTTAGTAATTAACACTTGGGATCTAGAGATTGCTATTAAGTTTTTAAAGGAAATTAACCGAAGCAAACTTAAGCATTTAATATTGATTTGTTTTAGTATTAACGTAGCATGGAATGTTTGTAGAGTTTTCGATATATCTCTCCTAGACTTTGCTGCTCTTGAAATTCTAGAAATTGATGCTTTCCTATTTAATTTTGAGCTGAGGGATTATAGCACAATTGAAGTAAAAATGAAAAAGTTGGAAACGCTAAAAATTAAGTGCAATTTTATAAATGAAGAAATCATGCAAATGATAACTGAACTGGAAATGTTAAAACATCTTGAAATTCTTGTAAAAAGTTGGGATGTCAAGTATGAACTTTTACGAAGACAACTAAGCAGTTTAAAAGGTCCAATAGAAAAACTATTCGTTAATTCTAAGATGACCATTGGTGAACTGGTAAGGTCAATAGAACCTTTGAACAAGCTAAAAGAATTCTACATAGACGGTAGATCCATTCGGTCGTCATTTAATAGCCTCACCAATCGAAATTATGGTATATATAAACCCGTGAAAATCTGTTTAAACAAGCTGAAAAGATTTGTTACAAACAGTAGATTCATTCGGTCATCATTTGATAGCCTCACCAATCGAAATGATGGTAAACACCAACCTGCAAAAGTTGATGTGAACAAACGGAATTTGGTGAAAAGTAAGAATATGGTGCATCTAAAACTCCACACTCTTTATTTTAGCGATTTAGCTTATGAAGAACTAATCGAACTTATGTTGTGTCAATATTTTGAAGCTTTCGCAGGTATTAAGAAACTGGTGATATTTGAAGCACCAACAGATTCTTGGACAAGGTTAGAAAGAATTCAGAAGTTATCAGAACTTTCGCCAGATCTGCTAAATAACTTGATCAAAAATATTTTTGAGACGCTCAAACAGCTTGATGTACTTGTGTTCTGTTATAAAAGTTCCTACATATCTAGAGAAAAGGCTCATATTCTTTATAAGCTTTTTTCTGAGAAGTGTAGATTGGTCAAGGAGCGATGTGAGTGGTTAGATAAGTGCGATGAAGAACAAACCATTTTCGAGCTTTATAAGTAAAAGTTAAGCTATTTTTCGATATTTTTGTGCTGATCATTTCTTTTTTATGATTGTAATGATCTCAGGTCTCATTGTTCATGGTATTCAAGCAATCTATAACATGTTAATGACATGTGCCAACAGCAGAATGAATGATGCTATTGCTCTAAACACAATGGATTGTGTCTCTTGCATATGATCAACGCCATTGCTGCAGAAAATTTGTTGATATGAACAATTAAGATCTTTGTTAAGAGTAAAGTGATTTAAAACCGCTTGCGTTGAGATCACTGCTCTGTCATGTTTAACAGTAATGAAGTATTTACCAAAAGTAAGAGTTGGTATAATGTTGTGATCTATTCGAACATACTACGGACGACATATCTCGCAAGAAAGCGATTTGTACCGTATGTTGTGAGATAGTCTAGCTGTCATGCACCGATAAAACGTGACATGTTCTAGATTTGCTAATTTCATGAATTAACCTCCATTGTTTTAGAAAATTGTTGTTGTTAATCGGGCAACTGATATTCTACATTAATAAATGCATGTTAGCACGTTCATGTTTGTCTATTGCCTGATAAATATTGACAGGAGAAAATGGTCGTTCTGTGAAAAGTATGAGAGAAAAACCACTCAGCATCTCTTCTAAGAATAATAACAATAGGTTGAGTATTGAGCACGCTTTCCTGACTGGGTGTTAGGTTATCGAGAATCACATTTATCTGCAAATCCCGAGAAGAAGGTTTTTCGATGAGTCGTGCAAATCATGGCTTATATTAGGATCAGCATTGCGATTGCAGCATATCTTCATGTTATAATGAAGTCTTTGTGCGAGATGGTACACTACTTTCTTTCATGAACTGAGAGCTAGTGACCACGATCTTCTCAGCAGACCAGAAAAGTGTGTTTGTTTGGATTTTGTAGTTTGTTCAGATGAGCCAAATACTTAGTCAAAAAGCATTAAATCTCAGGGACTGCATCACCTTCATAGGTGAGTGTGGTGACAAATCTCATCACGACGATGAGTCATCAGATGATCGTCCTGCCGGTGGCGATAAATCTGATGAAAGTACTGATAGTAACGGCTATCACGTACAAAGTGAAACAGCCGAGCACTATGCTGGTAAGCTCAACCAGATTTGTGCAAATTGTTTGGCAATGCACTTTAAAGACGAGGCACACCGTAGACATGCGTACAAGAGCTGCTGTCACTTCGGCAAGCTGGCCTGCACACCAAGAGATAGCTATCCAGAGTATATCAGATCGCTGTTCACCGATACAGCAAACAGCGATCATAAAAACTTCAAGGCCAACATACGATCGTACAACAGTGCCCTGTCGTTTGCGTCAATGGGTGTACATGTAGAGCAATTCACATGAGGAGTGTACTTCTTCAAGGTGCATGGTCAGGTCTATCACAACACATACAACATAAACCCGCTTGAAAACACTAACAGGAGATACTCGCAGTTGTATGTGATTGATACGAATGATGCCACAGATCTGAGATTGAGAAACCCTGCAAATGAGAAGTGTGACAGAGCAATACTACACAATCTTGACAGGACAATAAGAGAAGTCAACCCGTATGCAAAATCTTGCTGAGGTTGAGAGAAGTGCAGTGCGTGAAAGAAACATGTTGATGGTAAATGTGATGTCTAACAAGAACATTCATCGTGACATGAACAGGTACAATATTCCTACAACGGGCGAGATCGCGATGATATATAGCGAAACACAGCGAGCATTCATGCTCAAGAGAAGACAGTTTCCGGTTCTTGTTTCGTTTGCGATGATAATCCACAAGTCACAGGGCCAGTCATTTGACAAGGTAGGTGTTTATCTGCACAGCCCAGTATTTGTGAATGTTCAGTTATACGTAGCTTTGTCGAGAGTGCGCTATGCAAACGGTCTAAGAGTGTATGTTGCTGACAATGGAGACCAAGGAAAGCATGAGAATGGTAAAGTATACGCAAGAAATGTTGTATGCAATGAGATACTGGAATGAAAGTGATTTATTGATTTTGTAACCACAGAACAGTTAGTAGAAAGGAATGACCTGATGTCCTAGTCACATTCAAAAGCGCTGATTGATATACTATCCATTCATATACCCGTTTTGAAAAAAGGGATAGTGCAGCTAGTTATACTGTAGAAGTATGGTTTATTTACACATCTTAATCACTCTTATCGTAATATATGTCATAAATATAGTACAAAAATTACATATAATCTTGTCACGACGATGCAAAAAAGAGTAACTTATAAACAACTCCCTAGTATGTTTAGCAAGACTATAACATGATACTATTGCTCTCGATACTTGTATAGTTCATCAACAAACACCAATTGGTTTGGTACACACTGCAGCACAACTCATTGTTTCACAATTTTTCAAAGTGTCCTGCAATGTATTCTAGTATATCATACGACTATCATCTCTTTGACGTGATAAGCCAAGTGAAAAAGTATAAATATACGACCAATATGGCAAGTATGTTGCTACTCATAGTACTAAAAATTGTAGTTGCGATGGATGATGAAAAAATATTGGAAATATTCAACGATGTCGAGGCTGCAACCGGGAAACTAATTGAACAGACAGATGCTATTTTTCATTCGGTTGATTGTATGAGAAGATTATCGCAGAGCGCCAAACAAGTTTTCAAATGTACCCGGCCAGCCAAATTTGAATTTAGGAAAAATCCTTGGGTAGTCCAGCAAATACCCGAAACCATTGACTATTACTATAACTCATTGAAGTACCTCGAAGATAATCTCTCTCTGTTTCAAGCATTTATTGAATTATCGGGAATGAACAGAGAAATGACCATTGATACATCGTACACCGAGAAAATAAAGGAGCATATTGCAAATAAACAATCCATAACCGATTTTCTCATGGAAAAATACCACGAAAAGCAGGTTAACAACGTATTTATAGAGAAATCGAGGTTAATCACGAACAACATATCCAAAGCCATGCTATATATAAAGCAGCTGTATTACTGCGTTGAAAATGGAAATATTATCGATGTTTGTTTTATTAAACGAGAAATATTTCGGCATCAGTGCGATGGCTGTAAAGAGTCGACAAAACACAACAGCAAGGGGATGCCTGTGCAGTTGTGATCTGCAGTCTGTGAGATAAGTGTTTGGATACACGAGATGCTTGCAATTGGTGGTTCTTTCATGTAAACGGATTAAAAAGATGTTATAATAATAATAGTTAAAATAAAAGTATCAGGTAAATATCGTATGTATAAACAACATCAATGCTTTGGTAATGATGGCATCTCTCAGGTACTATATATAATTTTTTGCCGTATGAACACTAAATCCTATACTTCATGGTGCTAACTAATAATCAATTTTCCCACACCTGATATTTCATGTTGCTATATTAGGATAATAGTTGATGTTTAACACAATAAAATATTCTATTTCCTTTGATATAACGTTTAATCAATTCAATATATTGCCTTGTATTTGATGTAATATCACAGTCCCAATCAAGTAATAATGGTTTGCATGATAGCCATGAGAGAATGCTTGGTTGGTAACTACTTACAACACCAAAGTATCACAAATGGTTTTCAGTTATGCATGAAAAAATGTTACGATCTATAAAGACGAAACATGTATTTTTCTGATATTTTTATGTAAAATGTTGATCTATTTATTATTTTAGGCAAATTTATATTCTATTTGACATAAGATAGTCACTAAAACAATAAAATATTTTTTATAGAAACATTATCAATGCCATCTTCTCATCCTTTTCACGTTTTACGAGATGGCTGTCGAAATCAATACCAGACTATATCACATCCAACAGCAATCACAATCGCTATTGAAAGCTCAGATTTGTTCTGCTTTAGGAGTACAAAAACACACATTCTCACTACTCTAGTAAGGCCCTATGTATAACTTATCATTGATATAAGTGTCATTCACATCGTCCATCAATCATTATTGATATCCAAGGCAAGTATATCACAATAAAAGTATAAATGCACCATGAAAGAATGGCTTATGTTGGTATACGTGTTTCTACCAATTATTTTTGCGACAGAAGAGAGTCTGGAAACGTATATTTCTACAATTCTTAAACAGCTTGGTGACGTAAAAGATGACATTAAAGCGATGCTTGAATCAAATAGTGCAGTAGAAAAACTAAGAAATATGGATAACAAAATGTTTAAAAATGCGCAGAAATTGCATCATTCCTTCCAAAATGGCTATAAGGACTATAAGAATTCATCTGATGGCCTTAAATGCTACACTAAGACAATGACGTATGCAATCGACCAGCTGAACCTCATAAAGCAGTTTGTGTGTGAACCAGGAATAAATGATGTGGTGAAATTGAGTCCAGATGTATATGATGAGATCAAGAATACCATAAAGGACAAAAAGGTACTTACGGAGCATCATGGTGAGATAAGTGTCGATGGAGAAAAGGTTGTCAAATTTAATGAGAGTTTGTTAACCCTTCTAGACCGATTTCTGGAGGTTACAACCGAGCTTGACTGTCTTTGTCTTAAAGTTCTCAACGATATAACAGTGGATGTGTGTATTTTGCGAAGTATTATCAGTCGACATAGCTGCAAAGCATGCAGCGCCGGAGTAAACAACACGAAAAAAACCGAACCTGCACGCAAATAACGAATTTGTGGGTTAGAAAGTGGTTAATGGGTCGAATTTAGTGGATCATAATCTGAAAATAATGACAGCAAAGAATAATTAAAGTTATATGTGCGAAGTTGTTAGTTGTTTTATTAATGTTTTACTTTTTACGCCTCAATTTATCATTAACTGTTTCTTCTACCGCATCATAGGTCATTTAATTTGCCATTTTTGAAAGTCTATCTAATTGGAGCTGCATATCCTTGCTATTTCGAGTTATATTACCGGCATGCAATTCATATTTGTTCTCTTGCATCCTTTGCCGCAGCCTAGGCATTTTATGGGAATGACAAGATATAATTAAACAATGCTGTGCCAACCTAACAACAATAAAGGCATGTTTGTCGACAATGTTGATACGAAACATATTTTCTACGGCAAATAATATGCTATACTTGTCTTTTACGGTGAGCCAACGAGTACGGTTCATCTATAACGAAGCAGAGAGGTTGATCATTGTTTGATGCGATAAAAACAACTCTTTTGTGATGCATACACCACTCTAATTACCAGGCTTTCCTTTAGCAGCCTTCAGTTCGTTGGATCGTGATTAGCAAACAACTAGTCGAGGACCGGTTATTTCGGGTATGTTCTTGCCATATAAATACAGCAAATATCCCAGTAAATGTTATATAATAATTTAAACCCCATATATTTTATACTTCTTGTCTACAACCGCTTGCAAATCGTTAAAAATAAGTTAGGAGCCAATAACGCTATACCCTTGACATGAACAGCCAAGCGAGTGATCCATTTTTATGTGTATGAGAAGATAGAAAAATGTTCTTCCAGTAAAAAAGATTATTTTGTTGCCACTGCTGAGAAGAGAAAGCCACTGCCACTGTACTTTGTGTCCTTTCAGAGACCGATGCATAGAGAATGACCTATCACCGAGTGATTGATTGCAAAACGCTACAAACAAACATATTCCAACAAAAAATCAAAAAATGAGTGACGATTACGAGAAAAGCACTGTTAGTTCCTTCCCGCGCTCGACTAGTACTAATATGCCAGTTATTTAATTAGGAAGATTTCATTTGCTTCTTAACCACGGCCTTTCCAAAGAGGTGTTTCTGCGTCTCCACAAGCAAGCCCAAAAGTTTATCATCATTTCCTAAGCTATCAAGCCTTTTAAGTACACGTTTAAACACCGTGAAATCGTTTTCTTCAAATTCATGAGCGTCAATTATTCCAAGTATCTTTTTTATGATCTCAATTTTCTTTTCGTCTCCATTGTCTAACATGAACGAGCACCTATCAACCAAAGACACACAAAGACCTGTGCTGAGCTGCTTCAGCGAATCGCTGTCAACCGAGCTGACAAACACGTCAAAATCGTCATCATTTCCTTCCAGCGCACACACACATGCCTCCTTAACCTTCCCATTGCTTAGCAAACTTTTAATCTTATTCTCATCTTTGCTCATCCGACGCACCTCACCAACGACCTGAAGGCGCATTTCCTCAATACCTGCCTCCACACACGGTATAAGCAGATCGTTGAACATCTTCCTAAACTCAGAGACCATCTCCTTCCTCCCCACCGTGCCTTTGTCTGTGCGTGTTAATTTTTCCGCGAGATTGTTAAAACATTTGTTCATCTGCTCGCTTATCCCTGTGAGAAGCGCCGCCTGCTTCTTCTTAAAGTTGTTCTCACGTTTCTTCATTTCGCTGTCAAATCTCGCAAACATCTTCTCGATGAGCGTCTCCACCTTGGAATACATGTCTGCCGTTCCATCCAATACGTCAAGCTTGCTCTCATTGATGCTTATCCTCTCAAATTTGTCCTCAACATCCGTCTCGCTTTGCGTGTCATTTTGATCACTCGTTTCCTTTTTCATAGGGTACTTCGCTTTTCTGTTGTATAACTGGGCCTTCGGAGCTCCATCAAACACATCGAACACCCTGCTCATGTTTTTTTGTGATGCACCGCTTTTATCACCAGCAAGCGAGCTGACCGTACTTTTAGGACTTACCTTCTTGCCCACTCTGCGATTTACACTTTTTCCCTCACTTCTTGCATCCGTGGCATCAGGACTTGCTGTGCTGTTGGCATTGCTCACACCCTCAATAGCAGATCCCTCCCTAATAACATACAAAAACAGTTCATTTTCTTTCTTATCACCACTCACGGTAATATTACTTCCTATGCTTGTGCTGCCATACACCTTAAATTTGTTGTTCTCTACACACAGCCAGTTAATCACGTTTCCTCTCAAAATACCGATCAAATTGTCGAGCACAAACGCGTTATCACCGATTGTCATCTTGTCTTGTACCGTGTAATCGCTGTCCAGCAGGATGTACCATTCGTCATTTTTAAGGAGAATGCTACTGTCCACACCTATCAGGGTGCTTCCTTCTAGCATTTTGCTGTTCATCTTATTGTAGATCTTGCTTTTTATCTTGTAATACACAATGTCTTCAACGATAAATATCTTTTCCACGTTCTCGTCTAGTATTACGCGCTCCTCGCCATCACCAAGCTTTCTCTCCATCACACGATCGTCCACGTATATGAAGTGGTCATCAAACAGCACGACTTGCTTTGCGTTTGGCAGCACGAAGCCTTCCTTAATAACCAGATCATCGCCGCGTACAATCTCGTAAAACACAAAGTCGTTGCCTATCCGTAACACGAGGTAGTTTTGATTCACATCGTACAGCGAGACATCCTTTCTCGCAAGTCCCTCCGGTGCACCGCTTCCATGCTCCTCGTCACCATCTGTCTCGTCCGGCTCATCATTCCGATCAACCAACGATTTGTAGTTCTTCAGAAGAGTATCCGTGTCAATCTGCATACCCTTTCCATCCCTTTCACACAAATACACCACATCATTGTTAATGTACACCACGATGTTGTCTTTGCTTTTGATCTGGAAGTTCTTAAGACGTGCCAAATCCACGTAATACTTGTAAATCATGAGATCAGGCAAATTCTCCTTCTTCGAATCAAACGCGCAGTACAGAGGGTCGACATCTAAATTCAAAATCTCGTTCTTCGGCTCGGCATCGCCGTGTCTGCAACTGTTAACCTTTTCATCTCCTGTTCCGCTCATATCCTTTTTTATTCCTTTGATAAAATCGCTCAGGCTGCTCTCGTTACGAGCACCTTTTCTGTTCTTTATTAAATCAAGGATTTTGTTCTCCATCCGTGGGGATCAAAGGGCTTAAAAAATTTAAAGTCTTAAAATTCTACCACAGTTTTGCAATGAAATGAACCGCTCATTTTCTCTTTGTGTACCGATTGGTACTAGGAGCGGAAGTATCAAGAGAACGTTATCAATAGCAGATATTGAGCAGCTGCAAGGAGTTTATAGCGTGATATATAAGTACTTGGTATATTTTCAGGAACTATTGTATACGAGTTTGTGTGCCTGTTTCAAACAATAATTTTCTTTAATTATGATCAAACACTTAACTGATATGAGTACCATGTGATTATATGGCAAGCAGTGTTTCTAGATAAAGCATCTGACCGCTATCGGTAAGAAGATTGCTAGTTTTGCCAATACCACATTTCAACGCTATTCTTGCGTCAAGTATCGTGTCTCTCTTAAACAGAAGGTTATGCTTGCAGCCTGGATTGAGGTTTGCAGAATGTTGCCATAGTGTTGCTTCCAAGCAAATGTCGTACACAATGATGATAATTTTACTCGGTATTTCATTCACATGAAGCAGACTTTGTGAAGGTTTCTTCCTCTGCAGTGGCAAGGAGAGCAAATCTGAGATATGAACTTGATCGAAGGAAAATCAAGTTTGGTCTGTAAAGAAAGGCAAGCAGATTATTTTAGAGCACGTTTAATAAAATTCTTTGGCACCAATAACAGATAAGTTAAGCTATGCCTTGTGCATTTGCTCAGGATGGCATGCAAGGCATTTTTAACATGCAAAGAACATTTATCTACCGGATACAATACTAGAATTTTTCACTGTGTCCATTTTAGTGTAGCAAGCTGCGCATCGATGCTTGGAGTGCTTAAAGGAACGACGCAGGCCCGTTCATTTTATGACATATATCAAAGTGAACGGAGCGCATAATTTATTATAAACTGCATACCACAAATTTTACGCTTGGATCACACCAAAGAAGCCATTCGGTCAAATAAATCTGTTATATAGACCTGATATACCATCTATACATCAATACGAACATCGTTCTCAGGTGAATAAGTTTGCTATCCCCTATATATTACGCTACGCTGTAATAGGACCGCAAATAGCACAAAAATGTTCATTTTGCGCAAATTGCCGTGTAATGCTGCACTTCTGTGCTAGAAACGCTCTTTTAACCAAGTTTACGTTTAAAACTCGGTTTGTAAAAAATTTACAATAAATATTTTAAATTTTTGCTCCCTTCGAACAAATGGCTGATATTCTCAACTTTAAAGAACCGTTCAATCCTACGCTTTTTGACCAGCTGGTATCCTCTGCGCTTGACAAATCGTCCCCTGCCTCCAAAGAGAGTGACATAGCACTACACAAATTTAAAAACAACGAGGAGGCGTATCTGAGGATAGAACCTATTCTGACAGGGTGCAAGCTTACCGAATCGCACTTTATAGCACTTCAAATATTTGAGAACTTGATTAAAACGCGGTTCTACACGTTTAATGACGAACAGAAGGTTAATTTCAGGGTATTTCTCTTTAAATTGATGGTTGAGAAGAGCCGAATAAACGATATTGCACTACCTAAGTATAATCAGGTGTTCATTAACCTAATAAAGCGAGAATGGCCTTCAAAATACCCGAATCTGGTATCGGAACTTATAAATACCGCGCAGAGTATTAATATAGCATGCTGCACGAACACCTTCAGAGTGTTTAAGCTATTGATCGAGGAGATTTACTGTGCACAGAACGTAGAGGTGAAGTTCAGGAAATATAAGGGACAGATCACAAGAGATGTGCCGCTTATTCTCGATTTTGTGAACATGGTCATGGAGAAAGGCAAGGGGATGGACGAGTCTTTGGTGGAAAATGCGTTTGTAATGCTCTCCACATTCGTGAAATACGTATTGGATGATTTTGATGATAATTTTGTGCGATATGTCACATCATATCTGAATTCGCGACATACGATCAGCGTGGTGAAAGTGCTGTACGAAATCAACAGAAAGAAGGAGAACGAACTCGTGAATGACGAGTTCTTTCGCTTTCTATCGATGTACTTCAACAAATTCAAGAGTGACCACGGCGCACACAACACGGACATGTTTTCAAGCATCCCAGTTGATGGATCAAAATGTATTAACAAACTCATATCGGGCAATTTCAGGAGAGAATACGGTAGAATGACACCCTCAGAACGGGATTTCCTACTTCAGTCATCGTATCTGATGACGACCATCAAAAACGATACTTTTACGCCTTTCGTTATCGCATTTGCTGAGCTGAGTGATCTGCGAATCTTTAAGGTGCTGCTTGACAAGTTGCCGCTGACAAACAAAACATTCAGCGTCATACTCAGCAAAATGCCGAGGCCAATCGAAGTTTTGATCGTAGAAAACGAGGATGGCGAGATCGTAAGAGAAAAGGTTGAGGGAACAGAGAACCTGGAGTTTGGAAAGATGATGGCGTACAAAGCATGGCAGTTTGCACACAGCAATTCGGGATACGCAAAGTCTCATCTTTTGCAGATTCTAGAGAGCCTCTTCAGCATGGAGGATGAAATGAATTCAAATCTGCTGAATCGAATGTGCTGGACGGTGGGATGTATACAGGGTGCCCTTAGCTCTGAGGAGGAGGATCCGTTCTATGTCGATGTGCTTAAGGATTTGCTCACGCTATGTGAGAACAGACACAGGAAGGAAGACAAGGCAATTATTGCAAGCAATATCATGTATGTGGTTGGAAAGTACTACCAATTCTTGAAACGCAACAGAAATTTTTTGAGAACGGTCGTAAAAAAGCTTTTTGAATTCATGAAGGAGGAGTACGAGGGCATTAAGGACATGGCGTGTGACACGCTTTTGATGATATGTGAGAAGGTGACAATCCAGGATCTGAACCAGGAGTTTGTTGGCGAGATTATCGAAAATCTTAATGAAATCACGCTTCTCCTGCAGAATTACCAGAAGAGAATCGTGTACACCTCTGTGTTGATTGTGATACAGAACAGGACCGATCTCATAGAGAAGCTGTGTGCGGTGCTCAAGAACACAAACTTTGGTACGAAAGAGACCTGTCACTACATAAAATCACAGACTCTGGTCCTCAGGTACTATGTGAGCTACGAGGAGGCCAAGTTCATCCTGAATTTCTTCAATAATAGTGATTTATACGTCAAATATGACGTACTTGAGTACTTTGTGGCATATTTTAGGCATGTTAAGTTTGAAGAGGCAACGTTTGACATGGCTGGCTTTTTCATCAATTTGGGACCGTTTGATTTCCGGAACTTGAACGTTTTGAGTGCGTTAAGCGCTCGAATAAACGGATATGAGGAGAACGAGGATCCCTCGGACGAGAATGATGAAAACAGAGTTGAGAGAAAGACAAGGCAGGTATCTGCAATTCCGGTCGATACGCCTATCACTAACAGTTACTTTGATTCTATCATCAATCTGTTGATAATTCCGTCCATCCCAGGGATAAAACGGTCCGATGATTTTGCGTACGCGTACTATAATTTCATAGAAAAGTCCGTCAACATTGTTTTCATCAACAAAATTCTCCTGAACGACGAATTCATGGAGACCGTGTACGCTGGCCTGACCTATCAGTACAACATATCACTCAAATGCGTAAAGATACTCAGCCGGCTGTACCAGGTATCGGCAGAGCGTGACCTGGTTATTTTCATGGAGAGGAATGTTCTAAGAAGTGTTGAGAACCTGATAGGAATAATACTCGACAAGGACAAGGAGTACATTTTCAATGAATGTGTTGTGTTGCTGCAGTATCTACTCAAGAACAACTACATGAATGCACAGACCAGCCTGTTAGAGCTGCTCTCGGCACTTCAGAACATCAGTAAGGAGTACGTGCTATTGTTCATAAAGGGAATGGTTGAGATAAACAGCAGGAAGGTGCTGTTCGAGCATGTGAAAGATTTTAAGATCAGAGCGTTGGAGTACTTCGATAACGATGAGTACAACGATGAGCTGGAGCTACTTGGCGAAAGGATCTACCAATAAATTATAATAAAATGTGCTTGTGGTGTATGTGGCATTCTCATCGTGAGCGTTTTACCCCTGCAGATTTAGTGGTTGTAGCGGAGTAAACACGCCGTTTCTGCAGGAAAAATGGATAGAATAATTTAATTAACGTGCTCAGGGCGCATTGCGTGCGCTAATCAGGCGAATTACTATGTATCGGTTCAGTGCCCTGGAAACGCCGGTATCGAAGTGAGACCAGAAATGGTCTGCCATTTGCCAGCATTCATTTCCTGTATTTAATCCTGTGCTTGATAATTCCTTCTTTCTTTATCCTCAGCTTTTCCTTCTCTACATCCCTTAATGTTCTTTCGTTCTGTTCTTTCTCTTTCTGTGCTTCTCTCTCCATCAATTTCCTTTTCATTTTAACCTCGTTCTTCAGCGCAATGTCATCGAATTCAAAAGGGCTGAGCACAGATCCAACCTCATCCTCAACCACATCGGTGTAGCACAACCTCCTGTCCAGCGGCAGCCTGCTAATTATGTGCTCAGGAATTTTTATGCCGCGTTTAACAACCTTGTCTTCTCCGTCCTCACGCCGCCAATCATTGCTCTTGCTTCTTCTATCGTTCTTACCATGCCCAGCACCTCCCACAATTTCTCGTCTCAGCCTAAGCCTTTGCACCTCCTTTAACTTCTCGTCCACGGTGTAAAACAGTTCATTAATGCTTATCTTTACGAACGTGTTCAGAATTACCGCATCATTCTTTGCGATCTCACCCTCAAACGATGCCCTAAAACTGCCGTTCCTATCAAGCGCCTTTTTTATCACACCCCGTATGTTGCTCGTAGTTTTAACACCTGCGTACAAAAACTTGTTCACTTCCAAATTAGTGTTGAACATGTCCCTGACAAATGCTGTGTTGCCCTTTATTGCATACGGCTTTCCAATCAATTTGAGCTTCTTATGTATGAAATGGTCATTGCTGATCTCTTCCGAGCTGGTCGCATGCATGTTCACCATCTTTGTGCTCTGCACCCGTCCCATGCCTACTATTCTAAAGTTGTAAAAGAAATTGTTGTCCCTGTTCTTTGCTCTCCCCTCATTTACCTGTCGAACCAGCACTACACCATTTCCTTTGCTCTCCATCTGCCCGAAATAGCTGAAATAGCAGTTATCGCTGCTACTTTTCAGATAAATGTTCATGTCATTCGATCTCTTGAAGAATGATGGAAAGGTGATGAATCGCTGCCACCCCACCGATGCGATGATCGGATCGTCGCTCTTCACGAAATGTGGAAAATACTTTGCATTCGTAAAAGATGCGGTATTAATCGTGGCATTCGTGTAGGTCGCCGACGAGATGATCACAATGCCGTCTGTCTTGTAATCGAAGGTGCTGTTCATGAACACTTCAACGTAATCACCCGGCACAAAAATATTTGAAGAATTGCGTGCGTTCTTTATGTGTCCAACCGAATCAGCCATGTTTTCTTTCCTTTCAGTCTCATTTTCCGTCTCAGACGAGTGATCTGCCCTGACCTCGTAGCTCTCTTTCAATTTTTGAAGTGCCTTCTGGCGCAGGCTCTCAAAGCTCAACTCCGTTTCATCCACATGATTACATTTCTGAGGGCCTGCTGCAGCCTTGCCGTTCTCGTGAGCTACCGAGTTTACGGCACCTTGCTCTTTCTCCAACGTATGTTCATCTTTAGAGTCTTGAAATGTCTCTTGCTCACCTTCGTCCTGCCCATCACCTGCTGAGTCTTCTGCACTTACTCCCTCACACTCAAATTTTTGTCCCTCGTACAACACAAACTCCTCACTCTCAGACAGTTCCACCACCTCCTCCTCGGCCACTTCCTCATCACCAAGAGCACGTGGCGCGTACATGAACACCTTCCTTCTTTCCAAAACTTTCTCATCATTCTGAATCTCACATGGATCTTTGATCCTTGTAATGTCACCAACCTGTACATTTCCCACGCCCGGTACATAAAAATTTGCATTTCTAAGCATCCGCTTTCCCCGTACGTAACCTCTCAACCGCATGCCATTTTCTTCTTTCCTGACATAATCCGCTACAATGTACGAATTGGAGCATTTAAAGCTGAGCGGCCGGTTCTTAAACACCGCTATACAATTTACCAATATTTTTACGTTGGTAATCACTTTTATGCCTGGTGCTATTTCTCTCCACACCACTTTTTTGATGTCCTTTACAATTTTATTGATGTTTACGCCCGATTTGTCATCAACGGTAACGTGCACTAACATCCTGGGCATACCAAATGCGCTCAGCAGCGTAATAAATTCTATCTGTTCCCTTTGCACGCCCTTGTCACCGTCTACCACCAAAATAGCAAGATCAGATATTTTGGCGGCATCTACCATCTCCATAATATCATTTTCTACTTTGATGAACGTTGCTCTACGTGTCTTACTCGTGCGCAGTGTCACAGGTCCATCAACATTTTTGCTCTTTTTGTACAAAATCGTGGTAATCGACCGGAGCAAATTCGTGCAGAGCACAGACGGACCAATCAATGTTATTATAGACGGCGCAGCATCCTTGTACTTCATGTTTTGTATTACTTGCTCGTTTAGATCCAACACCACGTTATCAGTGCGGTTGTGCCTTTCCACCGTATTTTTTGAATTATTTTGTTTGGGAAGCGGCCCGTTCAAAAGTGCGCTGTCCTTTTTTACAGGATCGCTGCTTCTTTTTGTACTTTTAATCTTTTGTTTTGTTTTGCTGTTCTTCTTTTTGGTACTCATTTTGCGGTTCTGGGTTAAAAATTAAAATTCGTTATACACCGGTCAAAGATGGCCAAGTTGCGTTGAAGAGCGATCCTACAATGTCAACACCAGATAGAACATCGTACTACAACGAATTAAACGCACTTACATGTATGAGGCGTACTATTCACATCAGACAGTTCAACATTCTTCCCTTGGCCGAGGAAAGGATTGCTGAGCGGCCCAAATTTATGACAGTACGGCAGGAAATGTTTGTATCTGTGCTATTGCACAAATTTATGTGGAACAAAGCGTGATTCTCTTCAAGAGAACGGTTCATTTCAATTGAACTGCTCTTCCGGCTAGGTACCACAAGAAATAGCGCAGTACGAACACAGCGTGCATTTGTAGCGCTGAGTAAATTATTTGATCGTGCCAGGAGCAACAAACGGACCGGCAAGACCATTTTTGTTGGGAATCGCATAAAATTTGTGGTATCAGCGATTTAACATTTTTTTCTGCGTAAAAAGTGATGCAGTAGTACATTTTTCATTTTACGGTACCACGATACGCTCATCAATCGTAAAAACTGCTAATGCTTTGTGTAGCGCTACAGGAGGTTCAAAAAACTTTGCTCTGTCTGCCACACACAGCTGATGCATTCGTTGGTGGCACTTGACAAACGAAATGGTACCAAAATGCGCATGCCCATGCGTTGAAATTCGAATGCCAGAGCGGAACCCCATGTCACAGTGCCCAGGAATACATTCTGACAGTGCAGGACAGGCACCAGCATGTGCATCCTGTCCCAACAGCACGTACTGCCAGCAGAAGACCGATAATACGCACATTCACAAATCTCAAATTGCCCGAAACGTGGATGGAAAGAAAATATTGGCCGTAATGAGCGGAAAGGGAGGAGTCGGTAAGAGTACAGTGTGCATGATGATAGCGAACGCACTGAAGAGCTGCTGTGTGCTTGACTTCGATGTAAGCGGACCGTCCATTGCAAAGATGAGCGGCACAGAAGATGAAATCATAACGAATGTACGGGACAAGTTCGTGCCCGTGCGCGTGAAAGGCACAGATATGGGTGTTGTGAGCGCGTATCACGCCAATGATGGCAATTGCTTGGAGTACTTGGATGACTCATCCTTCGTAAATGAGTTTTTGCTTGATGTGCTCAGGAACTGCGATTTTACCGCCTACACGTACATCGTGATTGACACGCCGCCGGGTATCACAGACGAGCACCTGTTCATTTCCAACTATCTTAAAATGTCGTGCGTGCTCGTAACAACGCCGAGCGTGCTCTCCATGAATGATCTTGCAAGACAAATCGATTTCTGTGAGAAGGCACGGATTGGCGTGCTGGGAGTGATCGAGAATATGAAAGAATTTGTGTGTGAATGTGGGTGCAGAGTGCCTATGGGCACACTCAGCGTGGAAACGGAATGCATGGCGAGAAATATACGATATTTGGGCGGCATGGAGTGTACAAAGATGGTGGGTATGCATGCTGATAGTGGTTTGATCTATGACGGTCTGTTCACGGATATCGCGCAGAATATTCGGGCTGAGCTGGGTGAATGAAACTTGAAAATTTGTTTTAAACGAACTGCTGGCCGATGTTTGCACCAAAAGATCTTATTAAACGATTCGAATGGTCAATCACACCCATGACCGCACTAAACACGCGGTAGGTCATCAAGCCCATTGGCCTAATTCCTGTCTGAACTATTTTATTCCCATAGAACTAAGCACGGGTGACAATAACGCGCAACTTTATGCATCTTTTACCGGAGTGCACGGTAAACTTGGTTAGCAGTTGGGATGTGCTTTGCACCAGGCCATGTTCGTGTGCACCATTTAATTTTTATTTCTCAGCGCGCCAACAACTCAATCAAACATGCACAAGGCGCATGTTACACTACCACAAACATTATTGATGTGCTATGATGAGTAGCTGTAAATTTGATGCGCATGTTCCTCTTAGATGACAAAAAGACGCGCACTCTCAAATTAATTATTTTGCATTCATCACGATACTCGTGATGCGCTGTGGCTGTTAAAAATGGGTTTTGTCGACGAGCACCAGTGTTTGTGAAAAATAGAAGTTTATCTGGTGCCGTACCGACAGTCTCATAAAAAGTGAAGTTGCAAAAAATTGTGCTCGTTTATGCATTCATGCAAAGTACTATATAAATAACGCGACACATTCATGTACATGGCCTGTTGTGGGATGTCACTCGCACCGAAATACGATTTTATGATAAAGAACTTTATCATATCCAATACGTGCATACAAGGCTTCTGCTTCTTTGTGCTGCTCGTCTCTGCATGCCTGGTGTCCTGTCTAAACGAACTGATCGATTGTTATATCAACGAGAAAATGTCAACGAATACAGAAAAGCTGAAGCACAAGCGATGGAAGGTTTATATCATGGCTGTCAATTTCGTAACCATTTTCATCAATTTTATAACAATGATGATATGTATGACCTTTAACGTGTGGGTTGTTTGCAGCGTAATTGTGGGAAAATTGATTGGAAGGGTTAATGGCAGGAAGAAGTGCGCAAAGATGTGTGAGATATGTAATTAAATGGTGGGTGTACCAAGAGTACTTGTTTCGAACGGATGTGTGTTTTATGGGAGCAATGAAGAATTAACGTGTTACCGGTGGCTGATGCACGTGGTCGGTCGTATTCACTGGGAATGATGTATTAGGTAATGCCCTTTACTGTCATGTACATGTTAATGGGCAAAGTACACCATGTTATAGAGCTAAGGGTTTCATACCGTATGAGTAACCTAAGTAGCACGAGCTTGGTGCAACAATGAACTTGGATCGTACCTCGCAAAAAGGACCAGTAATTGAGCAGGGAGATTGACCTTTCTGTTAACATTGACCTGAATTTTTAATCTCCCTTGGTTTGATGAGTTTGTGACGATGTCCAAGATGCAGGTTGCTACACCAAGGAGGTAAACCGACAGGTTGTATTAAAGAACAGGAAGTATTAACTAGCAGTTGGTGGGTAGAGGGCCGTGAAGTTCTAAAGAAGTGCGGAGTCTCTACTGTTGAAAGATGCTGTAGGAAATGGCTTTAAGAAAATCAGAGCTGCTAACATAGCTCGATTTAGCGAACGAAAATATCGCTGTGAATTAAGAACACAGGGCTAAGGTAGAGAGATAGTCCTGCAAAACCGAGGATTTGCAAAAAAACCGCACTAACATCAAGCACAAAAATACGTGTAAATGAATGACACCGGCATGTTCTTGTGCCTATTCGCTGGTTTATGTGATTGTTGCATGCACGGTAGCTTATGAGCTTGGCAAGCAGATTTAGCGTAAATTATACGGCCTTTCCGTATTGTGTAGGAACAAAGCGGTGAGCACAATAAGCGAGAAGTTCCTGCTTGTTGTGAAGGGTGTCAGGCAGCGTCATAAATGAGAGATATGGTGCCCTAAATATGTTGTAAGCGGATTCTGAATAAAGTTACCAGTAAATAATTCTACCATACTCACCATGTAGACTCATAGATGAAAAATTGTTAATTGAAGCAGGGAAACAACGAACTTAACACGATATACATCGATGTCCAATCGCAAATACTGCACACAAAGCATAACAATAAATCAACCTTTGCAAATTAGGTAAATTACTCTAAATAAGTGCTATTTGATATATATCAATTAAAAGGATCAGCAGCACAGTAAAGCATCTAAATTAATCCACCTTAGTTAATTACGATAATAATCATCTCTTAATATCCTTTCATCACACAGAACTTTCTCATAAGGTATTTATGCATTATTAATGCATAAATTTGGCAAGAAATAATCTAAAACCAGAGGAGCAGTATCTGCCATTGTGCATCAACATTATTTAAATACAACTGTTACGAACAATGCCTCTACTTTCGTGATAATGCTAGTTATTTGGCACGTTTTAACAAAAAATAAACAGTACTATGTACACGCTGCCATAGGAGTGTGGTCATTCACCAACGGGTTTAGCATACAGCTCGCACTACAGGAATATTAAAGAACATTCTCGTACAACATCAAACATCCTAAATTGCTACCAATACCATTTACCTAATATGTAATATCAAACCATATTTAAGCATTCAAGTATTAAACCGAGCTTTATGTTATTTTTTCTTTTTTGTTCCGTGTCTCTGTTACAACCACTCGGGGTGTATTGTAGTGCTATATCGGAAGATATTGATGCGTTTGTAAATGAAATTATGAAGAGTTTAGGAAAAGCAAAAATTTCTACGGATATCAAATCCTTTGTTTGCAGTGAGAACCATAGAAGATGCTTGAACCTGTTCAAAATGAAAAGTAAATACGATAGGAACCTGCTCATTCTTAAGACAGGAGAAATAAAAAAGTTGAACCAACAAAGAATGTCGAGCTATACCAACCTATTCAATGGAATATACACGAGTATATTAACGTTTAAGAATCAGTTGGATCCACAGATTAAAGCATACGATACTGGTTTGTTGAAACTCAGACTTTCAAATGTTTTGGACGTTATCCAAAATACGATCAAAGAACTTTTGGAGCAGCAAAAGGCCTATCACACAATTTATTTGGGAATCATAAACAACAGCATCGCTCAAAATTTTTCTGAAGAATGTGTTGATGCACACTTCAAATCCATAATAAATAACAGCAAGAATGAGATCAACCAAACAGAAATGAAGAAAGCTCTGTTTGAGGTTGAACAGGTATCACTATTTGCCGTATTAGATGAACTATTATATTTTGAAACGAAGTTATGATTAAAAACATCTAATACGATTACCTCAGGCTCTGCTAGCGCCAATGTTTACGCTTTTGAGCAATTAAACTCATTCATAGCTACAAAACTGTTTTGGTTGTTTGCCACGATAACGTTCGTGCAACAAAAAGCATAAATAATTGCAGAGATGTTGCATACTCTTGAAAAATGCGAAACAATCCAACGGCACAACCAGTTTTATTCCTGTGTCGTATCAAAATATTATTTCGCACACCGATTAGAACAGTTCGTGCACGAACTGTTGAATAGACCAAAAAACTTTTGTTAGTTTTTATTTATGTTACACTGTGGTGTTGGGAGACGAACTATTTTTAGCAAAGGGACTCGTCTGTTTGAACGAGAAAGTTGCGAAATAACCGTGGACATTCGCACGTAATGGTAAAGAAGTACCGTTCAAGCAACAGTGTGCCTGTGCACGGCACATATACAGCTATATCACTTTAATTTTGAATATTTCAAATGTGGATATATCAAATCCAGCTCATCGCAGTAAAAAAGATCGAAACATGTTTTACACACGTACTTCTTCGTTTTTACCAGCAAAGGTTCATCTGTTAAAACGAATTTTGCTACATTTTTGGTACATATAACACACTGGTGCCCTTTTTCAAATATTTTCATTATGAAATCTTTGCATTCTCTATTTCTACCTATGATGTTCCTGATACGCAGCTCATAAAGAATCTCCAGTCTGCTGTTCAAAGAAAGGCTGTTAAATAGAATTAAATCCTCCATTTTATGGCCATTCCAATTTCTGAGCTGGTAATTCGTAGTCTCCGTGTAGCTATTCACATCATTAACGTACAGAAAGTTATCCACGTATATTGACAGAGTATTCACATTACAGCGCACTCCAAGTCGGTTTAATAGCGATAGCACCATGTTTCCCAATGTATGTGTGTTGTTGATCTGGAAGATGCCGATTTCCTTTTTTTTCCGGTATACAATAAACTCTACATGCACTACCCCGTTGCCTGTACGGCCACAAATCGTGGGATCGATTCTATATTTTATATTTTTGTCCCGCACATCAAACAACTTCGAAAATACGTTAAGTTTTCTTGATTGGTTCACTTTTGCACCGTTTTCGGTGACGGGCAGGCTCTGATCACTGGTCCTCAAAGCATTTTCTAAACGCTGTAAATGATCCGTTCTCATGAAGGGCTGCAAACACGTGGTAAAGGGTGTTTTAATAACTAAGCGACCTACCACGGTGCGTTTGGGTGCTGCGGTATGAGGGGGCGACCAAATGTACGCTTGGTGAAATAAAAACATAAATGTTATTTGATAGGTGCTATGGCACAAAAGCAATCTGTTCGTTCTATTCAACATTTACGGCCTGATCAACTCTTGTGCTGCCTTGACCCGTGCAGCTAATTAATATTTATTCGAAATATGACCCATGATGCAATCCTAGCACTCAGCAGCGTGCAGTGCCCTTACCGTTTTTACCGCCAGCACTACCGTACAATTGCTTACCTCCACCCCCACTCCAATTCTGTAACATCGTACCCATTCACAATATAAATCCCGTTTTCACGATCAAAAACATCGTCCACATCCTCCAAAAAGCCCTCAATCTCTAGGTTGTGGTTCAAAAAGATTAAATTTCCACATACCGTGTGCAAAACCACTACGTCATCCTTTGCAACAACCTTCTTTATTTTTCTTCCCACATCCGTGTACCTATCAAGAACCATAAGTGTGCTTATTTTCAGCTCCTCTACATTGTACTGCTGTTCAGTAACTAACCCGTCTTTGATGTCGTGCATGCTTATGTTCGCTGTTTGTCCGTCTTCAAAAGCATTTTGAACCGCTCGTACGATGCTCGTGAGAGCGTTCACCGTCAATTCCATTTTATACAGAAAACCGGAGAGCGTACAGCAGTAAAACGAGTTTTGGTCCCATGAGAACGAAACAAGCACATCGTTGATACAAAAAACTTCGAACAAGCACCTTTCCTGTACGCAGCATATTTTACCGATCTCAAACGAGGCGAAGAAATAGCCGTGCAAGTTCTGCACATCGAGCAGATTACCGTATTTGTGCTTTATCAGTGTACCATTAACATTTATTTTGTGTTCATCGCCAATTATCACGGCACCTTTAAGACACGCCTTCGCCAGGCTTGCTATTTTGATGCAGATTGAGCCGTTGAAAAGCCGCTTTACCGATTGAAACACAAACTTTTTGCACTCTTTCCATCCTTTGTACTCGGCATCAGCGTACCCTGTGAGCACATCACATCCAATATTTTCCAACTTGTGTATTTTTTGTATCTCGGTCTTAAAAGTTTTTGTGTGCCGCAGCGCTTTCGTTTTTCTGTCCCAAAAGTATATTTTTGTCTGATCGGCCACCAAAACAAATTTTTTTGATTCGTAGACATGGTTTATGTTGTGGTTGTGCCGGAATGTGTACAGCCGCCGTAAGAACATGGGAACTAAAAAAATAGAAAAAAAATCCTGCAATGAGAAGGTGGTCAAGAGCTGATACGTGCCTGATACACAGTTCAGAACATGTCAGTGATCATGGAACATGTAATATCTTTGCTAGCTCACGAAAGTTCATCCTAGGCTTCTCTTCATCGAATATGGATGTGATTACGGGAATTGCCCACAATTTGTCGCATACTAAACGATTTCTATGTCAAGCGTGAGGTGACAGATGAATGCGTTCTTCGTGCAATAAACGAGTGATTACCGGAATACTGCTGTGCATCCAACACGTGACAGAATAAAGAACTGCCAATGATTGTATTGAATGATCACCAATAAACCACATTCCGATCTCCAAACCGTTTAGATAGCTGATGGCAGTGCTACCTCCATGCTAAACCAAACGATACCGTTAAATCATGTCCACACGGATGGTAGGATTACCCTTGAAGCGATCTTCCCAAGCAACATTAAAACTGGCGTAGCAAATGAATTCACATATTGCTCACATTAACGGAGAATCTCCCAAAACACAATTATACCACATTTTGTACGTATTTAGGTTAAAGTGTGCACATTCCATTGCTGTTGCATCGTGCGGTGAGGTGTAACTGGGCAATAGGTGAACGTACCGTTGCTATTTACATTTTAGGTACCGATTCTAATACGTGTTTTCTACACGATGAATAGGCTGGCAGGGCAGAAAGAATTTTCATCCGGTCACATCCTTGTCGTGGAGACGAGTAAACTCTTAATATGCGCCGCTCTATGTATTTGGATGTTTTGTGAGAGAAAATAACCGTTTTATGTTTGTAAACTTATATTACAGCAATGAAAAGCTGACTGAAAATGCCATCTGCTAATTTCTATATGAATTTGCCTAATCGTGTGATAAGCGGTCATCTGTGCTCAATTAGGAACGCCAGTTTAATGGCAGGTATGCAAAAATAGCTGTAAAATAGGGTATTTGTAATGAACAAGTTCATTTTGTTGAAAATAACACCATAATTTTGTAGCATAGAACTTTTCGCTGTTTATTATCCGCTACTGCTGCTAACAGCTAAGATGTTTACACAACTTACGTAATTAAATGCATGTTCGAACCAATGTGAGCATACTATCATATGAATACGCTTAAGTGCACACGTATTTGGTGTATTCGTATTTAAAGCACAATCTTATTTAGGTCTAGAACATTTTGATAAGTAAATTTAAAAGCATGGCTCTGTTGCGAATACATGATCACAACTTTATTTGTTTTTTTTACGCTTTTGGCTCGTTTGGATGCCAGTGAGAGAGGATTCATTGACAGTCCTTTACCGATCGGAAACATAAGTTCCGTCCTACGGTGGGACCAGAACAACAAAAATGAGATAAGTGTGGTAATACCGGATTTAAAGCAGATCATAGATGTAATTGTTAATGGATGCATGTCCTTAGAAAAAAACTTGGAGGTGTTAACGAATGATTTTGAGTCGGAAATCGCTGATGAAATGGAAAAAATGCTTTTGACGTTGAAGGAAGAAATTATCAAAATAGTGAATGGTCAGTATGAGGCATTGCAGCTTGAGTTCACGCAGATCTTCGATGATGCAACAAATTCTATCATTAAATGCATCGATAGAGTGTCAAAGTGGGAATACACCGAAACGGATAACTTGCTAAATGATAAATGCTGTGAGTTAAAGGCAAACATAAAATTTCTCGTCAGGCATACGAGCAATAGCGTGAGAGATGCTGTCCTCAATTCCAATCAGATGGAGGTAGAGAGCGTCGAAACGGTAGTTAGAGCAGAAAATCAAAAGGTGCGCTCACAGATCGAACATATTTTGAGTGATCCTCACAACTTCTGCCCTATTATACCGCAAATTGTGTTTCCAGACCCGGCTTATATCGCAAGTATGATTTCATCAAATAAACCGGAATTGATGGAGGAGATAAAAAAATTGATCAAAGAATTCATGGAGCAGGTAAAGTTGGAAATAAATCGGACGGAAGAACTGGAACTGCTCGGCCAGAGAAACATTATGGATCAGGGAGTGACCATGGTGGTAAATGCACTCGAAGAAATTGAATCTGAAACACTCGATTTAGTTCAAGGAAAAATTTGTGGTGTTATAAACGAGGAGTCTCGTGCGTTAATAGAGTTGTTGTACAGAAATTACTCACTGCTTGAAGAATATATAACCATCAAAACGTCAGAAATGAAGAAGAGCACAGAAAACATCATAGGTATAATTACAAAATTGGAAATGGAAGCAATCCAGAAAGAAATAGCTGATTATAACGAAGCAATAGCAAAGCAGTTCAAATCAAAGCTATCAGCACCTTAGGTTGCAATTAAACAATATTTGTGCAATTTAGCATTGGATCGGTTCAATACGGTTAAAAAGCATTATTAGCTCTGCTAACTCTCCAAACAATAAGAATAAAGCAATGAAAACGAATCATTCGATGGTACGGTATCATAACGATACATCACTACCAGTCGAGCAATTATTTGTATAGAACGGCCACATGTTACGGTACTACATGTCTACACGTTTATTAAACCGTAAAAATGTGGAATTAAAATGATTGTACACGCAATTGATCGTTTCTACAAAGAGCTAAAATTTATGGCTGTTTAAAGGATATTTTATTTAATGTTAACGTGAGGTGGTAATCTTCACATTAACTGCTAATATTGGTCTAAAAAACACTTTATTAATGCTGATCAGGAGATGTGATAGTTTTTGTTTTGCACGTGATGTACTCGGTGTACAAAAGTATGTTTAATTTAATTTTTGAGTTAAAAGTGTTGCAATAGCGTGTGATCAGCACTACAAATGCGTGTAAAACGTAAATAGAGACTCATTTTACAGTATAAAGGTCGGTTATGGCGTTACTAACAGCGGATTTACTTAGTCTTACACCGGAACATACATGCTATGCGCACCAATTGTGAATTGATAGCATTGCTTAGGTACTAAAACACTCATATATTACGTAAAATGTGCTTGCATGCACTTAGTACCCAAAACATGCTTTTAATCATACTTTACATGTCTATTATATTTTCCATAGTGGAAAATGTTATGACCATTAATCTCTTCACCGTTTATTCCCGTATGCTTAGGTACAAATATTTCGTACTTCTCGTCAAGATCTTCAGGTAATGAAAAGTTCCTTGGCATAATCTCAATATCCCAGTAGAAGGTCAAATCATCCATGCATTCATCTAATTCTACTTCCAACGTGTTCGTGTATAAGTTGTCACCAACCGTAGTCACCTTCAGACACATATCACCGTTGATGATTTTAAATCCGTTGCTCGTTTCGTTAACTCTCCACGTACTTCTCTCTCTAGGTGATCCCTCACAGGGAATGAGACTCCTAAAATTGTCCAACTTGCACATCTTTCCTTCATTAAAATTGATCATAAACGATACATCCTCGCTTAAGGGCTCATCGGTTGGCGTTTTCCTCTGTTTTGCCAGTTTCTGTGCATACTCTTTCGGGTTCTTCGCCGTAAAACTGACAACCCTGTCATCATCGTAGTTTAGTGGAAATACGTCCTTGATAATGCCTATCATGCCATCTTTTAGCTGTAAATATGCATTGCTGTTCACCTTCGGTGTTATCAGCCATTTTTGCTGGGTCAAGTCTAAACAATAACAAGCGATCAAATAGAAAAACATGCGCAGAGTGTCGCTATAGAGAATATTTCTATGATATTGATTCAAATCATTGACATATTTGTTTTACTTAAGAGCTGATTTTATGGTAGGATGAAACAGATTTTATGGCTGAGATCTGAGTTTGCATCGAGTAGGCAATTTTGTACGAAAGAACGGGTCGTATGGTTAGTTATGAGCTTTCATCGGTGCATGCATATCATGCACGAATTTGGTTGAAAATCTGGCGGGTTAATGCCAGTCACCGATTCATAGAATAATGTTCATTATCACCAACATTTTTTACCAAAGTACGTCTATTTATTCTTCACACATCAAAAACATGTGTAACGACAAGAACAATCAACTTTTCCATTTGGTGTAGTACGCAATTTTGATGACAATATACATCGGTAAACAAAGTTTTTATGTTCTTGTAGATTAGCTTTTACCATTGCTCCTTATATGGTGAGTTGCAATTAATTTGAAAATGCTTTTGTTTGAATTGCTGTCCTACCAGGCTTGGATAAGGAAGTGCATCATGAAAATGTTTTTGTTAGAGTTGCTGTCCTACCAGGCTTGGATAAGGAAGTGCATCATGAAAATGCTTTTGTTTAACTAAAATAGGTTTATTTATCAAATAAAGTTGCTAGGTTTGAGTATAGTAATTGGACCATCCATGTTTTCACCAAGACACGATTATTGGACAGTAACAACAAATTTATGTTTTAAGGACTTTACAATTTGATTTGAGACATATTTTGCACGTTTTATTGGACCAGTTTTTCTATGCACATCGTGCTTTTGGTGTGTACCGTGAATCTGCTGATTTACAGCATATCCTGCTACAATCCCATCCTAGAACAGCTTATTGCTGATTAGTGAATTAGCATACATTAGCTGGTTTATCATGTTTGTTAAGCTTGTAAGCCTCTGATTATATTTGAACCACGTCTTCACTTGCCGTTATTGCGCACCAAAACGAGTTTAAACTTGTTCGTTTACTAAAATAACCGGCAGTTCTTGCAACTAAGCATTTTTCTCTCAATTTCTGCTAAGGAATCATCTGCACACAGTGTATGCTACTAATAGCACGGTATTTAGCATCTACCGCTCGTAGTAATAGTAATTTTCAGGCGTACGTTCTTCACCAGGTTTATCAGCACATAACTTCATCTCTCGAGCAGATTTACACAGAATCAAATCTTCTATTGCACGATTCGCATTCTGAGCTGTAAAAATACGTGTTTGCTATTCGCTCAATATTCCCCAGCAAACACTCGTTATATTTTCAAATTTATAAGTTCATTACTCATGTCTATTTCACTGCCACTTATCCTAGAAGCCGTGTTAATTAAAAATTGTATATTCAACTACGTTTACTTCGCTATTTAACGGGTCACATTCAATTTTTGTACAATGAGTGTTAAGTAGTGTTCAACATAAGAACGAAGGTATTTGTTGAACACAACCTATACCGATATTAATACACGTTCCAGTATTGCTCCAACGTATGCAATCATTATTGCAGAAATACATGTATGGATCGGAACACTCTTCTACCCTGAACAACATTTGTAGTGATTAAACTCCATTTTTTACAATTTTTCCTTTTTGGGAAACAAAAAAACAAAGTGTACGGAAGGCTGTTCAATTTCAATGAACTGTTTTAATGGCAAATTTTGTTCTCATAAAGATCAAACACCTAATTGAACCCGGAACCGTAGGAAGAGAACCCTCCGTGCGGATTAAAAGCGTAGGGATCGATTCTATCTATTGAAAAATAACTGTACACTTTGCTGCCGCAAGGCGTAGTCCTTAGAGAGAAGAACGGATGGCTCATAAAGCTATGAGGTGTCATAGACACGGTAAGACACATATTTCTAGTTCGTATGCTCGTACCTTTGGATGTTTCCACGAATCGCCAATCATCCAACACTGATTTATCATATGGATTGCACAGCATGACCTGATCAGCACCCATCAAGCAAAGCTTTTTGCTGCCAAGCATGATCGTAAATCCATTTCTATTTCTCATAAATACGATTGAGCTGTTCATCTGTGTCCAGTTCATCGCAGTTTTTATCATTGCAGGATCGCTGTTATTGAGATTGGAAAGTAAGAAATCGCCTGAAGATCCCAAGGAAACGTTGTACAGGCCCTGGGTGTAATCGCAGGCGAACAGTTGTGTTAAAAAGAGCAGCATCACAACGCAAGCGTTTTTCCTTTTAAGGTTATCATGTTTCGAATGATTGAATGTAATTAGTAAATGAGCAGGCTAATGAATCAAGTACATTTGAGCAGCCCATTTCGGTACTTGTTCATGGTATCAAAGCGCTTTTTACATCCAATGAATTGATTTATCGATCAACAAATTGTAATGATTTTGATGGCGGTATGCCTGTATTGCGAATACGATGCCGTTTTGTAAATGGATATTAGATGATTCCTGAAACACCGTTTCGGATTGCATGGCATCGATCAAATGCCTTGCAATAGCAATGCACCATAAAAGGAGGATTGCTATTGCGAGCGGCAAAAGACCGTCTTAGAGACGGTGTATCAGGATAAAATTGGTGTTTGCGCACGTATTGCGGCTAAATTTGAAGTATTGGTGGACGTAAATGATGCGTTAACACGTATTCCCACCGCATTTTGATTCAAAGTATGCTATTGTTCTTTATTGGCTCGCAATTCGATTGAAAAGGTGTGCCAACGCCAAAATGACCTAATAATTGACATTTACGCCGCATATGATTTAACACAATACTTAAAACATGCATACGACCTGCGTTGTGTGCAAACCACTCAGTAAAAATTTATTTGCACACCAATTGCCCAATTGGTAATCCGACCATTCAAATACTACAAGATAAAAAGGAAGTGATGCTGAAGAAGGTTTTAGTTATTGATCACAGGCACAATTACCTTTCAGAACACGTACTTTATCGCATGGCTCGCTGGTCGCAACTATGAATAACTTGAGTTGTAGTACTCAGACCATCTCTTACAACCATACGGTACGTTTTTAGATGTGAGAATAAAACAGTCCGCTCATATGCTTTATATTACTACCGTACAACACTCCAAAAGAATGTTATGGAACATTTTGCACTAAAAATACGGTTAGGTATCACCTCCATGTTCAATATCATCCAGAAAAATACGTTTTTCAGCGTAATAAGCACCGAAGACCTTTCCTTCATTATTTTAAAAGCAGCTAAACTAAGAATGCCGGCTGTTCAAGTGCTACACGGTGAAATCCACGCTTGTATGGATACATTAAATAGCTCATAGCTATCTTTGCAGTACTTAACATTAGATTATGACATGCCCAAACAAAAATTAAGGAGCGAACTGTATGAACGTGGTTTACTACGAAAGAGCCCATCGAACACACGAAAAAACAAATGCTATATTTGGAAACGATTGAACACCGCATTAAGCATGTTTTGATCCTGCCAAATGCCTTGCAGTAAAAATAGATAAAATAAATAATTTACTTACTAATTCAGTTAACCGAATCAAAACAGGCAGAACAATTCGTGGGACCATCCTGTGAATTATTTGCTATTCCTTCGTAAGAATGTTAAATACAGAAAAAATGGTATGGGACAAGAATAAAGGAGGATCATAAAGTACCGAACTGTTGACATAAAACACATGAGGACATGCTCACATAGAATAGCCTTTTATTCATCCTCCTCACTATCACTTAAATTCTCATACACCGAAAACTTTCTGCTCGGTTGATTTGTAACCTTCAGCGTTCTTATGCCGTACTCCGATTTTCTCCTCACATTTTGCTCCTGCGGTAACGGATTGACAATGTTTCTGTGTGCTTTTCCCAGATTTTGTATTCTTTTGTGTCTTATATCTGTTATCACGAGATAGGGGTGCTCCTTGAGATCTTCGATAATTGGCCGTTCCATGGGATGCATTTTCAGTATGGAAAGCAGAAAATCTATAAAATTGGCGTTATCTATCTTGTTTCTTGACCTTGATGTAATGGACTTGCGAAATCCTGACATAGTGAGGTAATCCTTGTCATCATTCGTTTCGCCATAACACATTTTGTAGTCGTGCGACTTTCCTGGATGCGCGAATCCCGCTGTGTTATCCAAAAAATCCGTGTTGTTCTCCTTGTTCGTTACGATACCAAACGTATCCTCGTTTCTGTCGTAGAAGTTGTGCCACGTGCCGCAGCTCTTTGCCATATCGTCATCTTTCTTGTAAAAGTACAGCTGCGCATTTTTTCCGTTCTCCAGCATTGCAATTGGCGGCATTCCTAGCAGCTTGGTGTATCTCATGATTTGTTCTTTGTTACTTTTTCCAGGAAACAGAGGTAAACCGGTGAATATCTCGTAGATGACACATCCAAATGACCAAAGATCGATTCCATGTCCGTAATTCAGTCCCAGAATGGTTTCTGGCGCTCTATAATACCTACTCTGTATGTAAAACGAATTCTTTTTGGGTTGAATGAAGGAGGACCCCAGGTCAATTATCTTGACCTTAAAGCTCTTGTCATCGATCCTGTCAAGGCATATGTTTTCCGGCTTTATATCGCCATGCGTTATTCCCTCCATTTGTAGAATAAACAGCGCGTTCAAAAGCTGTATCGCTATATTCTTTGTCATACCGTGGTCAAAGCCCTGGTGATTCGTATATTTTATGAACTCGTACAAATTGTTGGAAAGCAGCTGCTCAACAATGCAGAAGTGCTGCTTGTAGAAGAACTCCTCGTAAAACACCACAAAATGGCTGCGGTAGTTCCTCAATTTTTTGAGCAAAAAGGCCTCGTTCATCCCCACCTTTAGGTAACACGTGCCGCTTTTAAATATTTTTATAGCAAACTGGTTGTTTGAATACAGGTCCTCAATTTTGTATACGTCAGCAAACGTGCCACACCCCAAATAATCTTGAACTATGAATTTGTTCCGACCGGTGCAAATAAGATCGTTTTTCTTCAGTTTTATGTTTGTTAAGCTGTCGAATATGGTGCTATCTCTATACATTGCAAACTCAAGGGTTTAAAAGAAGCTTCTGAACAAACATTACGGATTTTGAACGATAAATAAATTTTATAGCAAAAATTTTGCACAGCAATTTCCGATCAGAAAATAAACATGCTTTTGGTGAACAAAGCTGCCGGTAAGCGCGGGCAACAAAGAGGAGATAAGAGGAACGCAGGTACGGTTTTATTTGTGGCAACAAACAGCGATAAGCGACAGAGAACGACAATCACCAAAACTAACCGGTCTCAAAACACGTGCAGAGCAGTATTCAATACGGCACGGTCACTACATGGTATTTGCGTACTACACGTGAATAAAATATGCTTTTTATCGACAAATTTAGGTTTGCACATTTTTTGATAGAAAAGCAGATACCAAAATAAAATAATCTTAGAACAGGCAGATCAAATCGTGTTCAAAACTAGGTACGACCTGCATAGGTCAAATAAGAAGTATTGGACTAATTCGGCAACGAACACCATGCGCGAGCACGAATGGAGATGCGTGTACCTTTCGTATCGCTGTATGAAAGGACCTTGTAATTCAAAAATAAAATTTGCTGTAATCCATTTTTATCGTTCATAATCGTAACAAGCTACCGATCAGTGCTTTGGTATGAGATTCTCAGTAGCTTACATTCTATTCTGCCTGCAAAAATGATTTTATAATCTTTCAACCGTTGTCTAACACAATTGGTCGGTGTGTACCCGCTTAGAGCCATAAATAATTTTTTTGCATATCGCTGTGGTTGATTTAGGACATTCCGGTGTGTTGGAAGTAGAATTTCCAATTTTATATTTTTCCAAAAAGGTATTAAATTGAAAAAATGAACATTTTGCTTATCAAAAAAGCATCTTAATCACGTGTCAGCTCTGCAATATTTCACGGTTCTGGTGTGTAAATGAATACGATGCGGCAGTTCAACGTTTCATGGTTTGTTCACACTATCTTTTATACCTTTGTATAAAATATCACGCTATTGCTTCTACGACAGGTAGTCCTATAAGATATGATTGGCAGAAAAGATAATTTATTTCGTGTGACAGATGAGCAAAAAATGTTTTAATGCACTATTACACCGTAGAATTGATAAATGCGTATCATCACATCCAAAGTGATAAGTAAGGTCACAGGCCTACTTCAAATTAAGTGGATATTCTTTTGTGTGGAAAGTCCGCAGTTTATTTTAAATTAAATTTGCCACGATGGGAATAATTTTTTTTTACAGAATGCTTGTCTATCTCTCGTACCACATCATCCAAACAAACACGCTTTTCCGGTTTCGATAAAAATATTCTATCCCCGTTGAATAGATTAGCACCAGACAGGTGCTTAAAAGAACTTGTAGGGTATTTTCTGTTAACTAAACGAATTTCCAAGGAAATAAACGTTACATCTGTATTTCTCGCTTAAGAGCAAAATTAACCATTCTTAAGTTTTAACTCCACTATTAGTAAATTACAAGCACATTTTTATGCTTAATGCAGTCAGAAAAAGTGTTTTTAAGGCTTTATGGTGAGTTGTTATTGATTGGCGGTTACACAACCAAATTTTAATTTATAGTGGTATAGAGCATGTTTATGAATGCGTTGTGCTAAGAAGTTGCAGAGCGAGCAAGGACCGCTGGCAGAGGCTAAGGCGACAAGTGGTTGACAAGTGCTGGTGAGAAAGATGTGTTGTTTAGGTGTTGCGACATGAAGAGCTAAATAAACGTACTTTCTGTGAAAAGGAGCAAATTTGACTGTTTTGAGAAAATTATGCGTAATCGTTCTAGAACGATTTGAAAATAAAACATAAATATGCTTTGATTGAGAATGGCATGTACTGCTTTGCATATATACCACTGTTCTGTTTATGTGTTCTCTCTTTTCCTACTCTGAGACCACAGAAATGGTTCCAGCCACTTAGAGCAACTGCCAAAGCTGCTCAGAAGTTCACGCCACTGAATGTACAAGTTCCTGATTTGAAACCGTTGTTAGATGTCATTGTAAAAGGTTGTGAGACTCTTGACACAAATTTGGCCGCTATCGTGACTCAAACAGAGGACGAAACATCGAAAATAATAGCGGACACGATCACCAAGGAAATAAAGGAGATAGAAGGTGTAGTAGATGGCAGCAATACTCTTTGTGTCTCCCAGCTTACCAATCTTTTCCAAACAACTACGAAAACCATTTCGGACCTGATACAAGCGATCACCGGTTCAGAAGAAACAGATACATCAAAGCTACTCAAAGAGAAAGAAACCACCCTTGTAAAAACAATACAAGACCTGATTAATGGCACTAACAACAAAATTAAGGACTTAGTGGATGCTCATACGAATGAGGAATTTATAGGCCTTGAGAGTTTGATCAAATCAGAGAATCAAACAATTTACACACAGATTAAGGATATATTGGCCGACCCACAGAATACAAATCCAATAATCCCGCAACTAAAGTTCCCCGATCCCGTCACGATTGCCGACAGCATCGTACCTGGGAAAAACCAACTACATGACAACCTCGTAAAAATTGTTTCTGATCTGCTGGAACAGATAAAATCTGAAATACAGAAGGTAGAGCAATACGAATTAACAAACCAACAATCAATAATAGGTACTGGCACAGCCTCATACACTGAACAACTAAATACCATACGTCACAACACTCTGGTAAGTGTTCAAAAGATCACAGATGATGTTTCTTCTAGCGAAATAACAACCATACTAAATGTACTTGCCGCCAATAATTTGGAAATGAAGAACGATATCATTAGTCTGACGCAAAAGATGGATCAGGATGCATCTGGGTACATAATCGAGATTACAACACTAGAAATTGATAGTTTAACACCCTTAATAGCAGAGTATAACCGAACAATTGCAGGACAGATAATTCCTAATCTTAAACCGCAACGATAAATAAACACAAAGTACAGAATGTTGCATTATCTTACGATTTTTAGCCTCAGTCTGGCAGTGGTTGCATTCCTATCGTTGTAAACGTAGTTTACATTTAAATCTGTTCGATCTTAGGACAAGCACTCTTTTTCAGAAGAAGAATTATGGACTAAAATAATTTCTCTCATCATGAACCTCATTTTATTATTCTATACAATGATGATTCCAGAACTGTTAACACAGAAAAGTCGTTTTTAACGATCTATATAAAATTCGATCCCGGTAGTAAAATATGCTTACAGTTAGCATCGTGATAAATGAACGATTTTTGATAAAAATTGTTCTTTTTGATTGCGTTGGTGTGGCAGCTATTTTTATTCATGTGTAAGCAAGTTTGTTTGGGTGTGTTGTATGAAGAGATAAATAAATGCACATTTACTATACAAAAATAGTAATAAGTATTTTAGCTGTGGCACTTGTTAAAACAATTCTTCCAGTAAAAAATATACTTTTATTTTCTTTCGCTATGTGATGTTATTGCTAAAATTATTACTTACTCACACCATATTAAATAAAATTACCATTTCAAACAACAGTTATACCATAGGTCAAAAAAGTAATATCATGATCGTGGAAAAGAGGAACAACCACCAAGTGATCTTAACCGCTTAGCCTTTTCATACCATTTACAAAACGGGTCATTTACCGATTTGTAGTTCGTTGTGCAAATGTTCTTTTTTTTATAAAAAATTTATTTCTAAATTCATACTTCCGTTGCTGACACGCTAAATAACAATTTATTTGACTTTTTTATGTTCGTATAACGTATTTTTAGTAACACGTGCCAGTAGCGTATAGAAGTGGATACGGCTGAGCATGCCACAATCAAGATTAGTACAATGTATGTGTTTTTACGCATTGCTTTACCTGAGCGGAAGTATGCATGGGTAAAAATAAATTAAATTTACTTACCATTTCGGTTGTACCTCAAATCAAACGTACATGTTGTAGGCACGGTTTGATTTGGGTATGAAGGTTGGCAAACGTATTTGGGCTGTTGTAGTGATGTGGGGTGTAATCAAAACATTAGACAAGGTAATTATTGATTAGGGCATAGGAATAACACGTTATAGAAATATGGGCAATGTTGTGGTTTGTATCCGGTATAAATGGTGAGGTTTTAAGGTTTAGGACACTTAAAACACTTTCGTCTTTCATGGGCATTTATGATATTTTCAGATTTATAATAATGAACACGGGGTAATGAGGCGGCATTAATACGTTGAATGTTTTTTACAGCTGGTAAAATATCTGCTGCAGTGACACGCTCGATTTAGCACATGGTGATTGTGCAGTTGTGTTGTAGAAATTAACAGGATTTTTATTGATGATTGTACGTTGACTGGCAACAAATTAATGAGGAGTTTTATATTAGCATTATTACATGATGGAACGTAGCAGTATACATACTTTGATAGATCTGGGCCAGCAAAGACTACGAAAACACATCTCCTATTAAAAATGTTTTTTATGTTAACAAGGTATTTTCTTCGGCAAGTATTACTAAATAAAACATCTTCATACGCACTTCTAACCAGTGATATCGTTTTATCCGGTACCAATTTTTAATTGATTCCTTTTAAGGAGCTCAAAACAGAAAAGGGATAACAAAATTGAGGGATCCCTGTGCTTTTGTTCTGATGGAAGAAAACTCGAACAATTCTTTTTATTATTCGTTGTCTGACATGAAAAACTTAAAGACTGCCTTTCGTGATGCTATCATCGAAAACAGGAGGGTCAGAAATGAGAAAATGTTCTTTCCTACGCATCTTTACATCCACAATGTGGGCAAAAATAGTGGTAGCGGCAAAATAGGTAGTAAACCAGACATTCTCAACAATACGATGGAACCAGGAGGTGGCGCATTGGTTGCTAAGCCTGTGAATCTCTTGTGCCCGAGTGACAAGGAGAAGAAGGTGCTAGCGATCGATCTGGGCGGTAGTTTCCTAAAACTGTGCGTATACAAACTCAGAAACGATGAAATTGTGTCACATACTCGGCTCAAGAAGTACAAGATTCTGAAGGATGGCAGTTTGTCCAATACTTCAATGTTTGATTGGGTCGCGAGCAAAACACACGATTTTTTGATGTGCGAGATCAGAGAAAAAGTAATTGACAGCGAGAAGAGCAATATAACGCTGTGCAGACTGATCGATGAGGACTTTATGAACAATTTAACCGCAGGAATGACAATATCATATCCGATTCAGCATTGTGCACTCAACAGCGGGTATATACGGGAGATAGGAAAAGACTTTCCCTTCAAAGGGATTGATATCCAGAAGGAGGAACTTGTTGAATGTACCACAAAGGCGTTCAAGCGGTACAATATCAATATTCAGATCAAGGTGCTACTCAACGACACCACTGCCACGCTGGCAAGCGCTGTCAGATCAGATAACGTATTCTATGTTGGCATTGTTCTTGGGACAGGCACTAACATCGCGTTTAATGATAGGGTACTTTATGAAAATCAGGTTATAAATACTGAAATAGCGTCCTTTGACAGCGATCATCTCAGAAAGAATATCTATGACATGAAGATAAGGGAGGACATCCTGTCGAGCAACAAAATATACAAGCCATTGGATTGCATGCTGGGCGGTTACCAGTTGGTAAAATTGTTTAATATTGCAATCAAGGATCAATTCGATAGAGAGAACTACACACTTGATGATATTGTGCACCTTCTTGACCTGCCACCAGGAAATAGCAACTACACGGAGGAGTTTTACGTCATTCTGAGCATAAAAAAGCGTACGATGCGCATATTGGCCTCCATGGTCTTCGGCATTCTTGAGGCACAGGAGGTAAATTCAAGAATCAAAATTGTTCTGAATGGCACTGTTTTTGAACAAGATTACGACAGACGCATATTTATAGATGAGATACGGAGACTGTGTGCCGATTCCTCATCGTATAAGTACAAAAATTTTACGTTTGAGAGCATATGTGACGCCACTTTACGCGGAATTGCTAGAATTCTTCTACAAATCGATTAAAATTCATTTTTATTGCAATTGTGCTTGCAGGTGTGTTTGATGTAATTTTGTTGGATCTTAAAAATGAGAATTTCTGTAAAACAGTTCGTTGTTTATACTGAGAATAGAGGAAAATGCTAGCTTTCATTCAATATGTGCAAATAATAGCTGTGTGACCTCGACAATACGGCAATAAATTCATTTATAACTCCATGTACGCCTCATCTTTGCGGTTTTTCTTGGTGTAATTTATGATGCGGTCGTTCCGAGACATGTCACAGTATTTATCAGATCGATAAGATTTTCAACATATTTTTACGCTTTTCATAAGGAGCGTCCTCCCATTTCAATCATGATAAGTAACGATCTTCTGTGCAGTACTTTTATTCTGTGCATCGTGAGCACTGCGCTAAGCCAATACGCTTCACTAATTTGTGATTCTGTAATCATTCATAGAATTGAATGATTCAGTTTGTTTGCAGATTGCTGTTATTTAATATCGTTTCTCGTAGCAGAGCATGCCAATTAAATGTTTAACACAGGTTATCACCGATCCCAAACTTCACTCTGTTTGAATACATCACGCTCCTAAGCGGTGCAAATGGACCATTCCTATGAATTACTACACAAAGAAAGCAAATACAAAATGAAACGAAACAACTATAGCATACAATTGTTCACCTTACACCCAATCACCAGGTGTAAAGCGTGAATAAATCATTTCTTTGCAGAAATAATAGGGTAACAGACTAGAAAAGTGTGTTTGTAAAATTTGTGTTATATATTTGATAGTAAATGCTTCTTTACTGAAAATGTATTCATTTATCTTCTCATATAATATCACAAAAACACTTTTCTGGTTTTCTAGGACCGATCTGCCGCTGGCCCGTGGTTCATAGGATCATAAAAAACTATTTTTGTAAAACTTAGCTCACAAATGCAACTCAAGACCAAACACCTTCATTCCTGCAAGCATTATGTGCCCTAAATTCTTTCATAAAACATGTAATACGTCTCCTTGTCTTTCAGCACTCTATCTGCGCTTATCTTCAGGACATATTCGTCATTAAACATGAACCATTCACCATTTCGCTTCGCAAACGCTATTATGTGGTACTCGTTACAATTGTTAGGTACTCTTTCCAGCACGCCAAGCAGTTCATATTTTGTATTCTTCACCGTTATGATATTGTGATCGGCAATCCGACATTTTAACATGTTATCGGTAAGGAATCCACTGAAAACAATGATATCGTTAAATTCTACTTTCGGTTTGCGCTTCAGAAACTTATCTATCCGTTCTTGCACGTTGCCGTCGTCCATAATATCTAATAACGGATACTTCCAGAAACATTCCTGCCTTGCCTTTATACTCATGGTACGTATCGCGTGCTTTTCCAAGTTGCTTGATACTGTGCTTATTACATCTGAGCTATAGCCGCTCCGCTCATACACGTTGAACAGGATGTTGCACTCTTCAGATATTTTGCGGTAGGCGGAAAGAGGACTTACGAGCACGCAGTTTTTCATTTTTACGTATAGCTCGTTCAATAAATACAGAAGTTTGCACGTATGCATGTTATCCCGCATGCACTTTACGAATTTTCGTGATGAAAACAAAATTTGTATAACAGCATTGATATAGCAGTGTGCGTTAAAATTTATCAATCCACACTGCGGATTTTTGCGTACTTTGTCTATTATGTGTCCGTAATATGGTGTAGGTAGGTTATTCTCTATGTTATCTATCATTTTTTCGGAAAATATTACCAGATCTTCAAAATTTTCTTTTGAGAATGACCTATTTTCATAAATACATGCAGGAACAGTAAACTTGAATTTATCCACGTGATTGCAATATGTGTTATTGTCACGTTGCATATCATTGCAACACAAAGATGATATAAAGCCACTTCTACCTTCCCTATTTAACGTTCGATGTTCCCTAACAGGCATTTCCTGCCCACTACCACTTTCAGATACGTAAAGTGAATGGCACATCAACAAATTTATTAGTATGTGCATACTTTTTCATTTCCTTGTCCTTTAAATTGCTAACAATCTATCACCACAAATTCTGCGGGATCATGATCAATTCAAAACAAAAATTGCACAATCATCAATTGAATGGTTTTTCACACATTTTCGTTCTATTTTATTACCAATTTGTTTGTATACGCAGAAAATGTCTGCAATGCTATCGCTAGTAGTGCAGCAATTTCGTTGAGAACTGCAGTACACGTGTATTTAATTAAATATGTATCAACATGATAAATTTGTGAGATTCAAATGAGTTTGTGATCCGTACGAATAAATTTGAAGTGATTATTACATAATATCTGATAATCCAGGTGGGAAAATGCTTTTACAATGCACCGCAGCGAGTACATGATCATTTCTAGAACTTTACCATTAAATTCGCCATGCAGAAGCAATCAGTCTGTCTGTTCACAGTATTTCACGAATAGCATTTTATTTCGGATACGATCTGGTTCAATTCAACCGATAGAAATTGATGCTTCTTTCCCACACTATGGTATACCATGTCTCGATTACATCGTGTAAAACCTTACATCACATGGACAAAACACTTCACGCACAAGCAAATTCTTTTAATTCATTATCACCAGGTGCGCCCCCTTTATTTCATTTATCATCCATCATAATTGTCATATTTCTCTTAAAAGTAGCTAAAAAGGCCGTTCTTAATTACCCAATCAATTAAAAAATCAGGTCTCAAAGAAGTTTAATAATTTTCCTGTATAAAATGAGAACCAAAAAAATCGTTTCCAAAAGCTGCCAATAATGTGTTACATACTTATTATGGGTATAGTACGTGCTGAACAGAGAAGGTACATCCCCAACACAACAAATTTAAAAGCGTATCACCGATCAAAACATATAAAAGTGACCACTTCTTGGTAAATTATTCATAAATTTACAATAAAATGTGTTTGTGCACATCGTAGTGTAAATTACAGGCATTAAAATGAAATAAAATTAATTCTGAACTTTAGCTTTAATGTACTATTTATGAACCAATGACGTTTACTGCCCTGCACAATAATGGGCTATGCCTTTGTCTAAAACTCCTCTTTCAGTTTGTTGAAATTAGCATGTCTCATATTTTTCTGCAACTAACGTTACATTTATTTATCTCATCCTCTCATGTTCATCATAAGCTTTTTCTTCATATAAAAACGTCTAAACAAATACATTTTTTGGTTCACTGGGACCAATCATTATTCACGCAACTTTAGATCCATAGGGAGTTGAGCATGCCAACTCGCACTCTCAACACAGCAATGATCTTACATGCAAGTTGTAACTTGAGCAACATCTCCTCGCAAGAACACCCTGAGGAATTCTTCTTCGCGGGAATGTCCAGGTAAAACTAATTCTCTGTAACCTAGCGATTAACCAATTAAATATACTCGGCACGTGTGTGCCTTATGTGGAGGTCTATCTGTCTCTCTTTTTCTTTCGGAACCAGCATTATATCGCGTATCGAACATATAATGCTGATCCGCAGCACACAAATTCGCACCTACGGCAAAAATGATAATAAAACACGTAAATTACAGATCTATCCTAAGATGCTCCTCAGAAATTGCAAAAATGGACAAAAGGACCAACAAACATATCGTACGGAATATGAACATATTTTTATTTTAACAAATTATCTGATCCAAACACGAACTCTCACAGATAGGGACAACATAAAAACAATTCACATCTATTTTGTTGTCCGGATCTGCCTACGGAAACCTTTTCTAAATACGTAATCAATCTCATCCTCAGAGTACTTAATTTTGTAGCTTTTCCTACATATCTTCACAGTAATTCTATAGCAGAAGCAAAAACAGCAGTCTCTAAGAGCTCGTTCCATAAACACCTTGTCTCTGATATATTCATTGTCAATATCATTCGTGGAATATTTCTCCGCGTACTCGTCTTCCTCATTCTTCGATCGTATGACTAAACGGTTGGTAAGCGACACTTCGTACATATCATCATGTCCGTTTTCCCTTTTGTTAATCTTATCAAGCAGCTTGTCGATGGTTGCCAGCTTGTATGCTCGCGCCTTACTCACTATTCGCAATTTCTCTTCAAAATCGGCCACGGGCGTTACCAAATGGCCTTTCAACAGATCTATAACATCTGTAAAAAACGGCTCATCCTTGATCTCTGCAAACCTCTCCATCAATAAATAAAGATATCGCAGCCTTGCGGCTGTCTCTACAACAACCCTCCCGTCTTTGATAGCAAGAACATCGTCAAGTGAGTCGTCACTATGTTTCAGCTTGTACAGCTCCGTGACCAATTCTCTCATACCTTCCATCTTGGAGACATCAATGTCACATCCAAGATGCTTGACGAAATTCCGGAAATTGAGGTACTTCTTGTCTGCTGCCTTGAAGTCTAAATGGAAATCTAGTGCTTTGTAAAACGCCCGCTCATTGGTGTCCTTCCAAAGCTTCTCTTTTTCTCTAAGCTCCAGTTTCCAATACCTGATCAGTTTGTACATTCTCTTCAGGATCACAGGCATCGCAGCCCTGGGCTTGCCAATCAGCTCCTCAAAGATTTCTTCTCCCCGATCGCCGTAAACAAAAAGTACTAGTTCGTTGACAAGCGGTGCAGGCATGTGCAACTGCGACAGATCCAACTCGTCCTGCAGCTGATCGTCACCCTCTCCTGTATAATCGTTCTCTGCATTCTTACTGCGCTCGGAATTCAGAAACACCTCAAACGAGAAAATTAGTGATTCTCCCCGCTCTATCAGAAGCTCAATCTCATAGCGTTCATCTTCCAACCTGTACAACGTCTCCATGTACGCGCTTCGTTTGAACTGAACATCTTCCTCTTCACTCGCATACAACGGGAAGGAGTAGCAAATGTGATTGAGGACCTGTCTTGACAGAGAGTCCTGATTGGATCTAAAGCCCTTATCTTTGTATATTCTGTAAGACCCCAAAATACCACCCAGATCCTCTGTATTTACGAATTTGTCACCCTTACTCTCAAACAGACCTGCATTGTGCTGTCCCAAATGTTCTTTAAATGCCTCGATCATTTTTTCATCCTTGATATACGCACGCAAAAAGAAGATGAGCTCCCTTCCCTCCATTAACTTCTGATTAAACAGATTCATAGCCTTCAAAAACTCTTCATACACATTCTTGGCTTCCAAAATCTTCTTCACCTCCGCCAAAGCGCTGTCCTCGCCCTTGGGCATAAAAGTCAAAAACTCCTCAATCAAGTCTCTGTTATCACCCAGTATTTTCTTTATTTTTGCCAAGACAAGCTCATCCTTCGTTTTCTGGTAGTGTGTGAGTGCCTCTATGAAATCCTTGTACAATTTCATGTTGTTCAATTTACTTTTCACCTTCTTGATGAAATTCAGAGCAACAGTCTGCTCTTCTGCCTGCTGACCATCCCACGCATTGATTGGCGGGTTGTTGCCCGGTACAAACTGCTTCGCATCTATTACCTTGGGTATTTCTTTCGGGATTATCCTATCGTGCGGGACCGGTCTTTCCCCCATCCGATCAGGTGGAATTCTATCGGTGATTCGCTCTGGTCTGTCCATCATGCGTTCGTGAGAGGGTATAAATCTCTCATTCATACGCTCAATAGGTCGACCTGGCGGCTCCATTCGCATGCGTCTCCTGTTACCCCGGTCGATTTTATACTCAGGCGGCAGGAAGTCGTTGAATCCCTCAAGTATCTCCGGTTTGCCTTTGAAAAGCGTTGTAGCGGCACGCACCACGCCACCTGCATCAATTTTTCCATGCTTGTAGTCTCTCATTACTTCCAAAAAGCTATCGTAGATCGACGGATCCTCTGAAAAAACTGTTTTTACCGTTTCCAGGAACGAGATAGCGTCATTTAAGTTCAAATCCTCCTTTTTCTTGTTTATTATGAAGTCTTTCTGGTAATCGTTGTATCTCCTCTGATAATATTCCTTATAAGGATATGGTCTCGGATACGAGGGATGGGGCATATTGAAGGGCATGCTGTGCCCGTTGCTGGCACCAGAAATGCTCGCCATGCTGTGGCTCGGCGTGGTATGTGCTGAAACATTGCCGTGCATTCGCTCACTCATTGCTGCGCTGTAGCCAGCATCCTTGTTGTACCCGAAATTGCCAAATCCGCCCTCGCGGGGATACGCACTTTCCTTAATCTCTTTCATGTCCTTGTCGGCCGGACTGTTTGTGTACGACATTGCGTACTCATTTTTTGCCATACCGTGACGGGGACTGCCCGGATGATAGCCATTCTCCCTGTTGTAACCACCGACATGCTGTGCGAATCCACTCTCATCCTTCTTTTCTTTTTTCTCGACGGTCATTATGTATGGGTACGCCGATTTTTTATAAATAATAAAAATACGGCTTGATATTATACTCACGGGTTAAACACAAATCTGGTCAGAATTTTGATTTGTTTGATTTTATTTAATTTTGATGTTTTAATTGGTGATTAATTTAAAAGTCTAAAATTTTTTTACTTAAACGTGCTTATGACCAATTTCATTGATTGTTGATATTCGTTGTCCACTGAGATTCGGAGGAACAGTTAGAGATAGTTAAAACATAAAACTTGTAGAAAACGAGCCCGTGTATAGCATTTACCATCTAATTGGTGCCTTTTGGAAGCAGTAGCGCGCTAATTGTGAATAGTTGGGCAATATAGCACCATGGCCAAAATTGGTGGCTAACTCATAAAAACTGTCTGTCATGGTCAACGTAACCATGACATGCTCGGAGCTTTGGTTTTTTTCCGAGATGGCAATTGCCTCTAACGGAACCAAAGGATTTTTAAAAAGCCTTGTTTGCCGTTTACAGCCAATGTGTGTATAGCGGCATAATATATGATAATACGCTTCTATCAAGTTTTATATCCATGATCACTAATTTATTTATTCATTGCTCTTTTCCACGGCAATTTTTGTTCGTTATTACGCGTGCGCAGGATATTTGCTGTTGTGAAAATTATGGACTTTTCACAAAAAATGCAATGTTACGTATTTGTTAATTACAGGGCCCTCATGTGTCATAGGAGGCTGTGCATCAGAAAATTGTTTGTTGCTCACTTCGCGTTTTAACACGAATTTATCTAAACTTGTCAACGTAAATATGAAATAGGGAAGTATCAAAGCGTAAATACATCCCTTAGCTGTTTTATCAGTAGAAAATTAAAATTAAAATAGCGAGATCCTTTGTTCAGTACAGCAAAAACGGACGAAAGCCGTTTTTGAGCGCATTACATTGCTTGTTCTCAGATAATACCGAAATTGGGCATCCCGGTGTGCCGATCAGAGAATGACACCGACACTTCATCTTCCATCTAACTCACAAAATATGTCAAAACACTCATTGTTTCGTAAAATTCTTCCTTTATCACAATCAGATTAAGAAGCAAAGATCAAAGCGACAAACCAATATCGTAAACATTATGTCGTTACAGTAGCAAAAACCATGTTAAAATTGTTCCTTATCTCTTGGTTCAAGAGATTTCAGCAGCAATCACTTTTGCTCAGCGAACTACAAATCTGCATCTGCTGGTAAATTTATCAGAATTAATATAATTCTTTGTAAGGGATTTTTTGAATAATTTGGTTGTTCGTGCACGCCAATTTTTCGCTGTCACTGCGGCTGTCATTTAAACTTTATCGGAAAACTTATCAATTCGTTTGTATGAGTAATATATTTGGAAAGTGCTCACTTAAACACCATGAAATGGCTGTTTATTGAGCAAATTCATCGTTTTATTCATAAATTACCACCATATTGATTAACTAAGATAGGTTAATTAAAGGATGCTTAATATGAAGCAGAATACACACACCAAATAACAAACCATTTAGTTCATCTTTAATACATACATGGTTTGCGATGAAGCTATTTCACTTTGACTACGGTTTGTTTTACAGGAGCAGCAATTATTTGTGCGTATGCTGCGTGGAATAGTGGTTTAATTTGCGATGACATTTTACAAGTGATTCATCCAGCTGATCAACGCTTTGGTGATTAATGAATTTGATCTAAAAACATTTTATTATGTAAGTGCGATCGCTTGTGTTTGACAAAGCCATAATAAATACGGAAGCAATCGTTGGAAAGCGTCTTATAGCCCGAAGAGTGGTGCTTTGACCACTCTACTATTTATTTGGTAAGAAACTGTAAATATATTCGTAAACCAAGATCACCACAATCTTACCAATTTTGTATATTAATATTCCCGGTTTATTCACGTACTTGTATACCGATGCAATGCATCCATAACACCATTATTACATATTACATTCATCCACCATAACACCACACTTACGGTCTACGTATCCGCCACTGCCAGTTCAGTGTTCTTCAACGTTTTACTTCTATCCAAATATTTCCCAAATTTAAAAAATTTTCTGAAATACCAAACATAAACCATCATTTGCTGCCAAAATGACCGTATAATCCTTTTGAGCTGATCGTAAAATGGAAATGTTCTAATTCCAGCTCCTTATATCAAAACTAGTGGGACAGACCATTATGTAAAAAAGTAAAAAAATAACGCAATATTAATGAAATTTGACTTTAACTACCAGTTTATCCAGTGTGCCACGGAGTAGAACATAAAAAATATTCCAATGACAAGAGAATCGAGCAATTTGACATCGAAACAACCAAACTAGTGCACAATGACCAGGAACCACAAATTAACTCAGCATGGCCCAAAAAGACAAACAATCGCGTTTTAATGTTCGAATACAGTGCTTTACACAAATATTTAAAATTTTTGATTATTTTCAGACTCGTCCTGTCAGATGTTCTATAAGATGCAAGGAGATGTAATAATCGCTTTCCAGTCATACAAAATAATTCGTTCGGTACCAAATACGCAACTGAGAAGCAAAATTGCTATGATAACAAGAAACTGTACGTGCTATAAATTACCACTTGCGCCCGATTAGAACACAAGATGGACATGGCTATTCAATTAAGCTGAGCGTATTCATACAAAATGATTCCGCTGTTGTGTGCTTATCGCTTTTTATAGAGGAAGCAGTGTTTGTGCAAAGAAGAACGATATGCACCTTGCACTACAACATCAATCATTATGTCATGGTTTGACTAAGCTAATTCTCCGTAATATTTTATTTACCGCAGCAAACGGCCAAATCTATGGTGCTGTTGTTTTTTCAGCAAAAAATGATTCATCTGTAGGTGCTACTCGTTAATTGCACAATACTATCAAATTTGCATTTTAGCTACAATAAAATGTGAAAATGAGCGTAAAAAACAGTAAATTTTTAGAAAACACGAGAAACATGTCGAACTTGACTAATAAGGCATGGTTATTAAAATGGACAGTGCACAAATTTAGTAATAAAACAGCAATATATTTGATTCGTTCGATTGAAAACGGATGAGTACATTAACAAGTATTTCAAATATCTTTGTATTCTAGAACACTCGTACTGCATGTAAGTTACGATGCATCTTAGTAACGAACAAGGTATTGTTCAACCATGAATGATAGGTGCTATATGCTCATCAAATAGTGCCTTAAAAAGCAAGAAGATGCAATTTTTTTTGTATTTTTGTGCGACAGACTGTTTAATTATGACTTAACGATTCGTTCTATTTCGCCAGATAATAAGCGCACGAGTCCTAACCGAAATAATACGCTACAAATAGCAGTCATCACAAAAATAATTTACCCCTTGTTGGTATTTGTGTGGAAATAAATTTGGAGAAAATGCTGCATCCTTACAAAAAATTTTGGTCAGGTTCTGAAATATATAAACCGCCTGTGTGCGGTATCTGAGCAAGAGCACGATATTAAAACAACATAGAAATATTATTTGGTAAAAGATACCATCATATAGCTGGAAATTTGGCATAAAATACCAATTTTATACCAGCAGTATAAATAATTGCTCACAGCCAACATGGTCTGCGCTGAGCTGTTCACTATGTTACGATAAGCCTTTTGGTGAAGAATATTTGATACTATTGTAAAATCTTCTACCAATACCGTTGCTTGTACTAAGTCTTCACGTCAGGTGTGATGAAATGAACCCTGAAGTGAAACACAAAATTGAGTGCATTTGTACACATGTGATGTACGTATAGAATGTTATCACTATTTTTTCTATACCATGCGAACAGTATCATAGAGTGCATTGTAGATCGTTCTGTCCGAAATATACTGCCCTAAAACGACGATAGTGTATGTGAACCGGTAAAATTGTGCTAAAAGGTTTATTTACTAGCTTAGAAATTACCAAAGACTGTTTCTGATAACTGTTTTAGTTCGTAGAACTGCGGATTTACGCTTATATTTCTTTTTCTGGCCGAGTTATCACCTACCAAATTAATATACGGTGTAGGAGTCGATACCGAATGTATATTCTCACCTAAATTACCATTATAAATCAGCGGATCAATGTCGCTGATCTTCCATACGTAATTAGATGTTTCTGTGCATTTTTCCACGCTTAGTCTGTATCCCCCCGTCTCCAACCTGCTATCTCGCTCATCCTTTACAAGACAGAACCCATCTGTTTCTATGATTTCTCCGCTTGATTTCTTCACGACGGTCCATTCCGTGTTCTTTTCTGTTGCTATTTCGCACGTCACTACCATGCTGTTATCAGGCCCTGCCCTACATATCGCTTTGCCATTAACTACAATCCTCAGTCCATCGCCCAGCCCCTCAAATTTAATAATATTTGACTCCAGCCCGGTCATTGGCGGCCGAGATTCTTTCAGCCTAACTATGCCGTCCCGTAACGTGATGTACAAATGCGGTTCAGATACAGATCTAATCGTTTTATAGCCGAATGCTAGATCACTACCGCATAGAATGTTGCCAAAGAGCACAAAAAGCATGCTGTTCGTTCATATGCATCTTAAAAATACGAATGGATCACGATCATTGAAACATGACATGATTTAGTTTTGTAGTAGACAAACTAAAAGTATGAGCGCAGGCCCATAAAAGTGAACGTGCTGATGGTTTTGGGCCGGGCGAAGTGATGATGTGGCACTAACTGGTATGCCGATTCCATCGCTTGTTCTTGGAAAGGGCATCACGGCAGAATTTTTTCTCCAATGACACGGCTTCAACCCAAAGGATGCTAATTTGGTCAAATAGAGATGCAAAAAGGTATCTTTGCTAGAAAAGGCCTGTTAAAGACTTGCACTGCACTCCCTTGTCTCGGATACATTCAGGAAATACGAACGATACTAATCTCGGTCAAGTGACACGTACTATCCTGCAAATTAGAATCAAGCGATAAGAATTGTTTTAATCACAATTCAAACAGTGATTGTAGAGGTGAAATGACACTTCATCACAAAATGATTGGCATTTTTGTTTCGTTCCTGCACACCGCTTTTCTACGGCGTGTTTTAAGTGCTTCGATCAGGTACCCCAATGGTTCGGTGGAACACGCCAAAAACGAAACATCCGCAATTGCGATAACTCTATCGCTTGCCTAGCACTCCTAAATAGCATTGTACGTCTATGATCCACATATTGCCCCACGAAAGGCATGTTACAAGGCCTACGTGCCTGCAACAGATTATTGTTTCTATGGGCAAACATTTCCAGAACACGCTTTCAGCGTGTTATTCAAAATGAACACTTCATGAGGATAAGCCTCACAGGTAAGAAACCGATAATCATAGGGCATGTGAACGTTTTCATTCAGGACATTGCGGCTGAGCCGTCAATACGTGGTATAGCGTAAAATATTTCGACTATGAACTGCAAGTCAACCAAGAACCTTTGTTTAGCTTTTCTGGTGATTTTACGAGGTGACAGACCGCAAAATGCTTGCACACCACGCAATATGCTGTTTACTGATCAGAGATAGCATTTTGCAAATATCTTTGTACATTACTACGTCCTTTGACCGGTATATATCCAATAGCACCGTTATTAAACCATCCTCGCTAAGCATGTTGATATGAGGACCGCTTAGAGTTTACCTCAAAATGTTAATTTATTCAAAAAAGTACACCTTGCTATCCTTGCACGCAGCCACCACTTTTTCTCCGCAGAGATCAAAGTCGTACACCTCATCCTTGCAAATTAATGTAGACACCACTTTTTTCGTTTTAAGCGAAAATATTTTGATAGTCTTGTCCTTACCAGAGCTGTACACCATGTAACTCACCATTCTCACCTTGTAAACGCTATCAAAGTGCATGTACTCTGCGACCAGATCACCATCGGTGGTGTAAATGCACACTTTTTTGCTGAACGATCCTGTTACGAAATAAATACCGTTCTGAGAGACATCTATGCTGCTTATGAGGTTGTTCTGCCTGACAATAACCGTGCTGTTCTTGTATACAGACCCGTCTTCACATCCCATGTACACATCGTTTTCGTGCAGCTTAAGCGTATTGATGGACGAATTTGCTTTCATTTCCGAAATGTATGTCGTTTTCTCGTAGATCTTTACGCTGCAGTCCTTTGAATACGAGTAAACACGGGAACCATGGACACAAATGCCGTTCACTATATCATCGTGTGCGTATGTGTACACGCATTTATAGTCTGTCCTATCGCTGCTTTCTTCCCTCTTCCAGAATCTAACGGTCTTATCGCGTGAGCTTGTAACAATCATCTCCTCAATTTCATCGATTCCTGTGATTCCTTTGCTATGTCCTGTGATCGTACACAGAAGGTTCAAATCCCGGTCGTAGACGCAAATCTGTGAGTCCATACCACCGGTAAACACCATGTTGCCCAGTATTTTGACGACCTGTATCCAGTGCGTGTGATCCTTGCTAATTTTTTTCTGCAACTTCATGTCAAAATCCCATTTTCTTATCGTAGCATCGCCACCCACCGTGTAGACATCATTCCCATCGCACAAAGCTGCTAAAACAGCGCTTTCGTGCCCAGAAAACGAGCTGCTGCAATAAATAGCAGCTTTTTGCTCATCTTCGTCCGAGGTTTTGATAATTATCGTTTCTTCTCTGTTAAAATTCTTCGGTAGGACAGACATAAGATCGTGTGTGATGATGTGTCCGCTGTAATACAGCGTACTCTTGCGATCAAGCAGTTCTAACAGCTGAGAGCGGCGTATTTTAACGGGTACCTGGAACGACTGTGAGTTTTTTCCTGTTAGCGTATCATAGAACTGAATAACAACTATTTCATCTGAATTGGGTTCCATTAAAGGGCAATCGGTAAATCATAAAATTTTTATAACTGTGTTGCGGATACGGATGGCACGGTGCAAAAGATGCACATGGTGGTTTCTCTCTGATCGTTGATCGCCCTAATGCCCATTTTCCGAGTTAGAATCTTTATTGAGTTGTTAAAGGTTCAAAAAATACTTTTTCTCGTCGATCTACGGTGTTACCACAGTCCTGCACGTTACGGAAAGCAGAACTATTTTTGGTACTTTCAGACATGGCAGGACAATTAACAGATCGTTTTGAAATATTTACGATTGTGTAATTCGTACCGCAACTATCTTGAGGGTCATTTGGACATACCTAAGTGCACAAAATCACGTGGAATGAACCGCCGCACGATAATTTCTCATTTTACCGCTAACCCTAATGAAATTCGGGCATATCGATATTCCTGAAGGTCACGTAGTCGTAAAGACCGCTAATTCCTTTGTTTTTGTAAACATACGCCCATTCCTGAGGTATCATCTCCTGATTTCGCCGATCAGAATTACAAAAACTCTTCGCGATATGACAGAAGCAGAGACAGCCGACCTGTTTAATACGGGAAAGGTTTGTATGAAAGCATTGGAGTTCTACGCCAAGGATTTTACAATGACATTGCAGGATGGTGAAGCTGCTGGACAGACAGTGCCACATGTGCATATCCACTTGATACCGCGCTTGCCCAATGATTTGAAGGTGAACAACGATATTTACAGAAAAGGAGCACTTGAGTGCAATTATGATGACGATGATCGAGTTAGGTTGAACAGATCGTTTGAAGAAATGTCCAAGGAGGCTTCGTATCTGAGAGAGAAGTTTTTGCCATACTTTCAGCAAGACCAGTTTAAATAAAGAAAATAACAATTTTTCTTACAATCCATTTGCACCGTAGGATATTGCCATGTATACCTTTCGGTTCAGTGCCCATCACACGATATACGTTGATGTTCTTTATTTCGAGTTTGCCTAAAGCTATGCGTAAGTTTGTACCTTCTTCCTGTCATAGGAGAATATAATCTCTTTTGCCGTGTTAACACGTATGTTTTGACCAATTAGAGGTAGAATAACTCGCACAAGCGATAAAGTAAGGAAGAGTGAGTCCCCTTTAGCAGATAATATGGTAACGAACTGGATCTAGCGTGACATTAACCAGTCTTTGGTGCAGAACTAAAACGATGGAATACATTTAATCCATCAATGTTGCAAATCCATCACAGAGCGAAACGCTCCATCACGAATTGATCAGCTTTGTAAAATAATCTGGATGCCTGTTTGGATCTCAAAACTAAAACAAACACGTTTGTATTCTTGATTGAAGTGGATTAACAGGTGAAACATAGCAATTTTGTGTTAGAGCACACAACACCGCTTACAACTCATACACATGTGCCACAAATTGTTTTAAACACTGATAATCGATACAATCAAATGATTACAACATTGTTTCATCTCGGAGAATAAAATTAAGTTGCGTATCGTTGGCAATGTTCATCGTTTTTTTTCTCGTTTTCTCGTTTTTGACCGCATCACTGACCGAGTCTGACAAAGCTATTGTACTAAAGAATGATGGCACCCGGGTTATTGTTGGTATTGGCAAGACAATGAGACTGAGAGCGCAAAAATTACCCGAAAATAGTGATGAGGATGGTGTTTTCAAATTTATTGAGGCTCCGAACGGATACTTTATCAAGTTTAAAAACGGATTTCTGTGCAAGAATAAGAAAGGTGATGCCGGTGTCGTAGGGTGCAAATCGGAAGAAAGTAAGTACGCCGTCTGGAAGGTAAATATGGCTGGTGAGTCTGGTGCCCAGATAGAGACTGCCGGTAACTTATGTCTTTTGCCAACAGGTCTTGACAATAGAGAAAAAACCAAGGGACGGTATCTGCAGGCGAAACCGTGCACGGATGAAACTTATCTTTGGGAAATAGTTGACTTAAAGTATTCTAAAGAGGAGCCAGTTGTTAGTTCGGGTGTTGTTATGGAGGGCAACACAGATTGGGATAACGTTGCGCTTGAACGAATAAGGCATCAGATGTACGATGCACCCGGTATGATTGTTGATGCTGTTCCAAATGTCGGTCATCGATTGATACCACACGGACCTCCCGACATTTTTCCTTTTGGTGGATATCCGCATGCTGATTTCCCCAACTCCCGTAATATTTGAACATTTGGCAATTTTACGGGCAAAAAGAAGTTCAGGTTGTGAATTGCTTGATGGATGAGCAGTTCTAAATCGAGAGCTAAATAAAGACTTTCAATAAACAGCGCTACATAAATGTTACATCTTGAACCGCAATATAATGGCAAGAGACATTCTGAGAAACACACAAAATAGATGTGCTAATGCAACAAAACAAGTTACGTTACTTTGTATTTACTCCACACGTAAAACCATAGCTAAAGTTTGTTCTTTATTTTCAATGAGAATTGCAAGAATGTGGGATTTTAGCGCAAATATCAGCGTTTCCACAGTTATTTTCATCTTTAAAATGACAATAACTATCGGGATTTAGGATATTCTGTGAACAATAAGTGTTTGAAACGGTGTTTTAATTTTCAAAATCGTTAACAAAGCCGTACGATAATTCATGATAATCTTTTTATGCTTACATCAAGGAACCTCTTCATACCGTAACAAGGATATTGCCATAATCCTCTGTTACCAGCAAACCAAATTTATAATCTCGAACTAAAAAAACAGAGCAGCCATAATAAGATAAATGCAATTAAGCACACAATACCGGAAATACATCCGATGCAATTGAAAGTCGGACAATTCCCGGAGAGAATACAAACGTAAGAGCTAGCGATTCAGTCATTAAAACAATTTCAACGAAAGCATTACCAACAAGCACCTTGAATGCACTGACCTACATCGAAAAAGTAGCTGCAATATTTTTAAAGAGAATTTAGACTATTGGCCAAAGCTTTGCTCCGGAATATCATGCTAGATATTTGCGATCGTGCTGATTTTTAGTTGCGAACACAAAGATAAAATTTATGGTAAAGAAGCGCTCCGGAATATCATGCTAGATATTTGCGATCGTGCTGATTTTTAGTTGCGAACACAAAGATAAAATTTATGGTAAAGAAGCCTCAGCTATATTCAATACCTAATTACTGTAAAACCACGTCCCTTTATATTGCGGTTAAACAAACGTACTTTGTTCAAAAAAGATAGATGCGAATATTTGGTAAAATTGTGAATCTTATGCCATATATAAAACATCCCGGTGTACACAGCTTCTTCCTCGTCTACACATCGCTCAGCCCACCATAGAGATAAGTTTCAATTTCTTTTTTAGAAATTGAAAAACATAAAAATTTTAAATTGCTATAATGGTATCGCGTAGCAAATTTAAATGCACACAAAATAATGGTGGTATTGTATGATAGCAAGCCTTTTCACAACCAAGAAATGTAAAAATGAGGAAATGTTTTGAATACCTGACCAATAAATGTTCACATAAGAGATTATTTAGTTCCATGAAACTTATTTGTACAGTTCCAAATACCTTGTATAGAATATTCTTTGTAGAACCAAGTTAAATTTATTCAATATATTCTTTTATATTGAGAACAATTTTGGAACCATTCATATTCTTTTTTTTGATCGACTTGATTCACAAATCTTAATTGGATTTAAACATTGAACTATTCGACTCAGTGCCGGTGAAGATGAAATGTTCTCGTAGGAAATGAGAATAGAAAGCAGGTCCTGAGCGTATCTTTTCTGGTGGTGCCCTATGACAGCATTACATAACATTTTGCACGATGCATTATTCCAACATATCACTTGTTACTCTCAATAACTCCATATCAACGCAACACGAAAGTTTTTCTTCTTGTAGCCTAAAAATGATGTTGCACAAGTTTCAGCTCTGAAACATATTTCATCGATTTTGCACAGTCATTAGGTGGATGAGCTACCAAAAAGATCAAAATACTAACACTGATCAGTTTCAGATTTTATTAATCCGTAGGTCAAAACAAAAATATAAAAGAAAAAACGAACGTTTCAACATGTTCTCGTTCTTTTATTTTCTAGTAAACTTCGTGGTTGCAGATGAAGGTGAGGGGGTTTATAGGGTGATATCCTGGAAGGGCGATCCTAATATAAAAGTTTCACTCGACAAAGGTGTTGCTAGGATTCAAAACAAGGAAACACCGCAATCGAAAGATGACACAGCTGCTGCGTACTTCATTCCTAATTCAATCACCACTTTCCGAATCAAATACAAAAACGGTTACTTGTGCAAGAATGCCAAAAATCCTGGGTTAAAAATTTGCGACAACAAGGACGATCCTTACACAGTTTGGGATGTGGTACGAGATGGCGACGCTTACCAAATTAAAACGAGCAACCTGTGCTTGAAGAAGATGAGTGAAGACAAGAGATCTGGAGCGGGTGGTTTCTATATGAATGCTGCATCGTGCGGTAGTGGAAAGATTTTTAAATGGATCATTGATGATTTGAAGATTGCTGATGAAAGCTCGGATGCATCTGATGACACCTTAGAAGTGAAGGGCAATAGGATGAAGGTTAAACGTGATGTGGAAGAAGTGAGTGAGCCAAGCACACTTATGGTTGGTGATTTGGATCATATCGAGACATACAAAGCGTACGAAGAACCAGTGGCCTATTACCGCAGAGAGGCGGTACCGTACTACAGCAAAGAAGTGACACCACACTACCACAGAGGCTTCGTTTCAGGTGGCTAGAAACAGTAAGCTCTGTCTGCAATTTATTAGAAATATAATAAACCATGATTTGCGTTCAATATTGGCTTTTTTGGCTGGTGTGTAGCAAACCATGATTCGGTGTTATGGCTCAACAAATCACTGCATATCGTTAAGGGCATTCTTCTGTGTACAAATCAAAGAATGCTTTTACGCACAAAACTTTTCCTACGTTTATAATTTTGGTATACTTTCAGCAGGTATATTACCTCGGTTAGGTAAATTTTATGATTGTGGTCGTGTTTTAGACCGTGGCGTCGCACATATATCATATTGTAGCATTATATCTGCCACGTAAAAGTACTGCCTACCAAAGCAACACAATCACTAGAGATTAAGTGTATTGAGCTCTTTCCTTAATTAACAACATGACCTTACGCTCCCTTATGTATTTTCTCCAACCGCTGTTCGTAAAAATTGGTAACAAGTCTATTCTTACTCCTAAAAGTCTACGTATTTCTGCCTTACCTCGTTTAATAAGTTCAACCATAATAACATTTTCAAATTTAATGTTTCACTACTCTCGTTTTCTCGATTCAAATTGTCCTCAAGTCAAGCCTTCCAATCATAAACTAAGTACTGTTTAAGCACCTCTTCGGACAAAACGAAAGAATTATTTATATTTCAAAGCAATCATCAACGTGTTAATATTGGATGTATTACAGATATTCACGAGTCCGTACCTACTGATCAAGCAGTGGATCATTACCGATTTATTAGAGTTTGGACCAACCTTTAAGGTGAAGCAAAATATAAAAACTAATATTACATTAATTAAAATGAAAAATTGCATGTTCTGGATACTATAAAATGTCATAATATTGCCTTAATGTTTATCTTAGGTCTTTAGTGTTTTCACAAAGCATACTGCATCGTTGATCCTTTTCTTTCTCGAAGTAGGTTTCTCTGAATTAACTATCATCTTGAAACGAATTACGGAAGTATCATCCTTGATGCGTTTTGCATCTACGGTATTTTATTGGTTTTACCACGTGTTAGACGGGCCTTTTTGTGTTTATTAGTGGTCATACGTACGAGAGATGGTTTACAATTTTGAATTAGAAATGAATTTTATACCAAGGACTAGTCATTGTGAACATATTCGCGCATAATTACGGTGTTATCACCGGTTTATCAACACAAACCTTTCCAACTTTTATTTCTACATCGAACCGATTGAATCAAAGCTACTTCAAATATAACGTGTTATAACATAAGTTGTGATTATTGGTAGAAAAATTCTCTGCCAATGGAAACCATAAGCTTTGAAACTGTTTTATGGCCGGTAACTTGATTTGTTCTGGATATAAATTTGTAGATAATATTCACTCGTAACCACTAACGTTTTATTAAAACTAACAACAAGAGCTGTCTTGCGCTTCAGAAAAGTACGTACCAAACCTGAAAATTAACTGTTTGTGATGTTATATGATACAGAGCTGCATCTTCTTTAAATTGAGCAAATACAATAAAAATACATTTTATAGATAGTACCATACCAAACCTATGAACAAGGTCACATAAATTTTCATCTACTTTAAATGGTACTTCTTCTTTTCGTCGGGTCTTAACTTTTTCTCCACGCCTATTATAACACTGGTTTTCTTTGGTGGTTGTTCCGCTTCGCTGTCGCTATCATCACTATCGGACGAACTGGAGTAAACATCATCTTTGTCGGTTCCCTCATTCCTGTATGGTCTATATTTTTCCATGACCCACCCACCATTATCAGCCGTGGCGAATGGCACCAATCTCAATTTGTAGCCTTGTGAGGACTCTCTGTTATCCATTTCACCTGTTTTTACCAGAAAGTTTCCTCCTATCTTCAGCATTACGCCACCATCCTTCGAGATTGGATCTACTTTCCAAAGACAATTGTCCTCTGAATAAATAGACAGTCCCATCACGTTGCTACTTTCGTCCGATTTGCACAGATACATGCCGTGCATTTTTATTTTTGCGAAAATTTTCTGAACTTCTTCAACTTCTGCTACCACAGAATCCGACAAAAAAGGAGCATTTAAACTTTCCTCAGTAACTCTGACGTTGAAATTCATGCTCATTTTCATAAGTGCATTTCGATTATCGTAGGATTTTATCAAATAGCGATGAAATTTTTTTGAACAGTGAACAAGTGCGACTAAACATATGATATACATATAAGAGCCTCGAAAAAAAATTCTTTTAACTTAGATATGTAACCAATTGGCATATTTGTTTTATCGTGAACATGTGTTATGCACGATCATTACGTGTTTCGAATTAGGCTACATAAGAGAACACAAGTGTATTTTGATATGAACACGTCAGTAGAGGTTGGAGTTACTCAAGGCCTGCAGAACCGTGTTGAGTTGAGCTTACCGGCAGGATTGTTTCTTTTTTTATATACCATGGAAGGAAATGATCTGTCTAGGTGATTGCACCATAAATCAAAGCATACGTCAGTGTTTATTTATTATACTTTCAGCTTTAATGAATACGCTTAGGAATTTTGAAACTAGGAGATAAGATGGCACGTTAGAACGAATTAATCACGTATCCAGTTATTATCTCATCGGAATATTTGTTTTACAAGAAAGAAAGCATGTAAAACGTGTATATACGAGGTAATCAGAGGTACATGTTGTATTGGTAAAACAATTTTATTATCAGCTATTTTCTCTAACAAAAATAGAGAGCACTACACTGTGGTTTTGAGCAAGGTCAGGTCAAAGTGCCGTGTTAAAGATATTTTATATCGCTTCACATGCTGTTCATAATCACACACTCATGGTTTACGTGTAGTTTTGACAATAGCACAACTAATCGTACTTAGTACACCAACTTGAAGACTGATCTATAATTGGACAGTAATGAAGATTCGTAGGTCATAAATAACAATTAACGTGCTATTACACCTGTATAAACAATTTGTGGGAGTAAATCTTGAACTAATTCATTTTGTACCGCAGTACCAAATGGTTGTGATGGATGTACCATACACAAGGCTTAGAACAAGAAAACATGCTAAAAAACGGTAAGTAGTCATTGGTCATGGCGATACAACCATGATCGGTAACATAACTTGGCAATGGACTTGTGCGTTTGTGGGCAAGAAATACCCCGGAATAAGTCAACATTCAGAAAAACAGTGGTATACCCCGGTCGTTCATCTCAGTTCAAGGTAAGTATCTGCTCCGTCCCATTATTGGTTCAAACTCAGCCACTAAACAACATTGAATAGACGCGGAGTATAAAACAAAGAGATTACACTCCTCCTGTGGTGAGTAAAGTAACTAACATTCCGTACAAATATTGCACTTTCTAGTTATAAAAATAAAACAAGCAATGCTAAAACACCATGGAGCATATCATGGACACCAGCACCCTTCCCATTTTTCTGCCACTCAGAATCAAATAAAAAATTTTTGAAATCCGGTGACCCTCATACATGGCAGGACCAGCAGTAGACGATTCAATAAAATACGTGTCACTACGTTGCGTTGGAGGAGAAGTGCCGGGTGCGACATTGGCACAAAAAGTAGGACCATTGGGCATTCCTGCTAAGGTGGTTGGTGAAGATATCAAAAAGGCAACGATGGACTACAAGAGCTTGAAGATAAATGTCCGATTGGCCATCAAAGATAGGAAGGCAACCATTGAGGTGATGCCCAGTACGGCCACTCTCATTCTCAAGGCTTTGAACGAACCGCCTCGCGATAGAAAGAAGGAGAAGAATATTAAGCATACAGGGAGTATTACGCTGGTTGATGTTGTTGAGATAGCGAGAGCTGTGAAAGTGCGAAGCTTGTCCAATGAATTCAAGGGTACTATTATGCAGGTTTTGGGGACATGCGTTTCGATTGGCTGTAAAATTGAAGGAAAGTGTCCTAAAGAGGTTATGAAAGAGATTAACGAGGGTGAGCTGAGACTGCCTGCTGAATAATTAAAGGCATTTTATTTACGAGAAATACGTGCTGGTTATAGCCTTTGGATGCTGCTTACATGAGCATGTTGATAAAGGTTCAGCTTTTAAACTGCCACTATTACCCACGGTAACGAATAGTTGGATGATTTTCGTTACTAGCAAAAATTATTTTCGTTCATGCGGCAAAAGCTTTGTTTTTATGTTCATGAGGAAATGAGCAGAAAAAACTGCGATTAGTAGTTTTGAATCAGCTACGCATAGCATCATAAAACGATGTTATTTCTGATCCTGTTAAGACCACTGTTCGCTCATCAGACCTGGATGAAACATCCTTCTGTGACAACCAATTTAATTAACTATCATCCAAATTGAACTCTATTTCATCCTCTATTCGGCTCATCTTAACATAGTTATCATGCGAATCCTTGATTGAATCTACCAGGCATCTCAAAAAATCATCATCAGGATTGTTCACCACTTTATACACATCAACCAGCAGTTCACCATCAAATTGGAACTTTTTTCCGAGAAGGAAGAGTAATGATTCAAGTATTTTGTTTTTCTGCTCGTAATCGATTGGCCTGTTGTGTTCTTTGCGCTTTTTTGGACATTGCTCACTTGCCAGATCACGCTCCATTCTTCTCATTGCCACCTCAGAGTGTTTTTTGATCCTCAATATCTCTTTGTTCTTCCCTACTATATCATTTTTTAATTTTTTGTTTTCTTTTCTAAGACTTTCCGCCTTTTCTCGCAGATTGTTGTTTAGCTTTTCCTGCGATACCAAACTGTCCTTCTCCTTAATTAATTTTCAAGTAGTTCTGAGTTTAGTTTGTTGATGTTTCTCATTTCTAAAATCAAATCATCTATCCGCTTGTCCTTGTCCATCAAGGGCCAGCGAATTTAGAGTTGAAATTGTGGAAAGGGTTTCGCTGTAACGCATTCCAGCGACTTAAAGCGACCTAACGGATCGTAAAGCGTACCTCTGTACGGCCGTATCGTTGTACAGCTTTAGTGAATAAGTAAATAAAAATAATTAAAGTATGATATGGCGATCATATTTATGGTAAAGGCTTAAAAGACCAATTATATCTCAAAATTGAAGCAAATATTCATGCATATGTTCAATATATGACATTCCTCCTTTACAGTTACCCAATTTATTCCGTTTCTAGCCATTTTCCCGGGATAAATAAATGTGGTTTTAGTAAGTCAAATGTTTTAAATTGATCTCTCTAAGCGTGTAAAATAAATGCGATGAATTGATTGCGGTGCCAGCATTGCAAGTGTTTTACTAGTATCAGCACCGTAATTCAGCGCACTACTATTTACGTTCAGCAACTGTTCAAACATATTTATTTAAAAAGGTACTTCCACTAAAATAATTTAAATCGTGGCTAAGCTCACCTGCTATAACAATTTGTTATGGCAGAAGTTGCGATCTGAACCAATGATTAGAAGTGCCTAAACGTTAGTGAATGGATTGTGACTAGTGATCGCATATGAATGTTGCGTAGAGCGATTGTTTATACTGCTGTTGAAATAATTACTCTCCTATATCACCATTGAATAAAGCACTCTCCTTAAGTAACAATTCAGAACTACTCCTTGCTCATGGTCTAACAAGCCGGTATCGCGGTCACGGGCCCACCTGAGACCGTTACAACAAACATGTAATATAATATTCATCTACGTAGAATCTATGCCAAATGTAAACATAATCACTTGATTCCATCAGTTACTTCAAACCACCTTCTACAGATCGTAAATCTCATCGCTACTAGTTTTTCGGTATTCTTTAACCTTTTGTGATTGGCTAATACACTTATTTAGGTAGTCTGTTTCTGTTTCGGGTAGTTGATCCACACAAGATGTAAAAATCAACGAGCCAAATATTTTATTAAGCTCTTCACTCTGCAACCTTTCATCGAACCAAAAATTCCGCGGCTTGATGTTAACTATTTTCTTGTAAACCATTCCAACATAAATTTCTGTGCTTATAACCATTCTGAAAAACGATTGATCAACCTTTAACACGATTGGATAGCTCCATGCCACGTGTATTGTTCCTAAGTATTGACAGCAATCATCAACTTGTACACAGAACAGGTACATGCCATCAAATACCACAAGAATGCAGTTACTATGGATCTGTATTTCGTATCCATCCAATAATCCGTAAACTAGGAAACCGAAAAGCGTCTTAAAAGATGTCACATCATTGACCGAGTATCGTTCATTAGTTATGGTCTGGCAGAGATCTACGAAGCTTAATCCGTGTATATTTTGCGGTTCATGTTTTAGAAACACCACTTTATCCGGAAATAAACACGGTGCTTTACGGAAGAATAACAGTGCTCTTATAGACTTTTCGTACTGAATATTGTATGATGTAGGATATTGGAACACCTGGTCGATTGCACTGCTCTTCACAACTTCTTGTCTATCGAACTGATCAATTACAGTAATTTCATCTCCATGAACATCAATGTGTCTGATAAATTTGTTTGGATCATAGTTGCACGGCATGTAATAGTTAAGTTTGGCTATCTCTAAGAAAAATGCAGCAAATATCGACCGTATCAACGCGTAAACTATGAAAGCTAGCGACCAAATGACGAGTACACGTACCAAATTGCCTACTACGAAAAATGTGTCCATAAAGGGAAGGGATAAAGGGTTCCGTTAAAATATGCTAATAGGAGAAAAAATGAGCCTATTACCGGTAGGAACGCGATTTACGATATGAATAAATAATTAAAGGCTAAATAAAGATTTTTATATTCGTTACAGAACAGCCCAATTGCATGTTTTAGCTTTTTTATCTTACTTGACTCAACTTATGGTCTAAAAAGGGGTTGATATGAGCACCTTTGGTTGTTATAAATAGATGATTTTACTGCAATTTCAAAGCGCAAAGTCAAACCTTTCAGTTAGTGACCTATCAATCTATAGCGATAAGCGCGTAATCCGTGAACTGAAGACTGGTGGCTATGATGCGTTCCAGCGGACTAGGAAGGCAGTTGCATGTTTGTTAAAGCGTATTCGGTGTAAGGTGGTAGATAAATGTGATGAAAAAAATTTAAGCGGATAAGGCAGGTAGAGGCATATCCCCATAAAATTTACTAAAAGACGGTTCAAAATCAGGTTTGATGTGCAATTCAATATACACCAATGACAGCAAGGATATACTAGGAGGGCATTATTTCCTGATCAAAATAAAGTTAGCGGTACCGAAAAGGGGAGAGTTATACTTACGCGGAGTATCGCTGGAGGGTCTCTTCGTCAGGAAAAATCAGTTAAAAATAAATTAGTTATTTCTTTCAGTTATATCCGCCATTCGCAGATAATGTAATTCATTTGGTATTGGTTTGAAGAAAATGTTATTGTTTAATACCTTTAATCCGGTTAGAATAAGAAATGCTGATTCGACTGCGAACGGCGCCATGATGAAATAGCGAAGAAAGCAACGGCAATGTTTAGCGATTAAGCCGCACATAAATATGGTGTACTGATTCTTGACATAAAATAGTTCGACCAAAAATTTTGTGCAGACTATTAAATATGCAGAGCGTTCACTGCTCAGGCCGACAACCACAAAGAATGAGTTAAACACCGAAACTTGATGATGAAAAGCACCGTTAACAGCAACTTAGTAGCTAAGAAAGGAGTAGTCAACATCAAATTTAGGAAGGCTATAAGTTTGTGGCGTGTTATGAAGACCTGCAAGCCCAGCATTTTCTCTAAAATGGTATCAGTACTATAATGACTCGTCCGAATGGTGCTAATCTACCAGCTGCTCTAATTATGAATTGAGTGATACTTGCGTAAAACATGGAATTCGTTATGAGAAGATGTTTAGCTGCTGTTCTTGCATAAAACACACCTCATTCTTTATCAATTCTTTTCATAGACTGATAGCGGTATAAAACGGTATCGTTGGTTAAATGGTGGGTACAGGTGATAGTTGTGCACATCTATTGCCGTGAATCATGGTAAATTCTCACATATCACAACATTAAAACATAAAACAACAAATTTATTATTATTTTGGTGCTTTGTCCGCTTCACTGTCTGAGGTTGATATTCTACTTCTTACTGCCTCGCAGATGTCGCTTATTATCCTTTTAGCAAGGAAATAAAGTATAAAGATGCAGAAGATAGATAGAACGAGATTTGCAAGGAAGAGTTCTGACCAGCCGCTCGGTATGTGTTCAAGTAACTCAGCGATACTATGCTCACATCCAGAAAACTCATCATCTGAAAAGGAGAGTTCAAATTCGTTCTGTTGCCTATCAGTTCGTTTGTAACACGCTCTATTCGTTTGCGTTCCCTCTACTGATGGATGTGAACATTCGATAACTTCGTATTGACCCTCAACAAGGCCTGGTTCGGGTTCAGAACTTTCAGTGGAATTGATTTTGCCTATAAATACGTGTAAAAACAGCATTTTAACCTTGCAGGTCTGCTCAGACTCTCTTTATTTAAGCAGAACTGTTAATTAACCTTATTAGATCTTGGTAAAACGAACAAGAAGGAATATAATTTATGTCTTCGTTGTGCATGAGACGCAATTGATGTTAGAGCCTAAAATGCTTGATGTTTTTGACCAACATCCAAATACACAGTTCTACACGCTTCCTTTTTAGCAAATAGTTGATAATATGAGCTGTTTTATTTCAAAATCTTATAAGGTAGCTAAATTTTCGCTGATTCTATCTTGGAATTTGGTATTTGTCAACACAAAAATTGAAACACAACTCCAACCTCTAGAATAGGCAGAGGAAAAAAACTTGAAAATAGGAAAACTATCAAGCGGTTTGATTGCAAATGTTGTCCTCGAGTCGTCATAAAAATATATTCACAGTGGATAAATAGGTCTGCATGTACATACACAGGCAAAAACGAACCAATATGGTATATTTTTGTACGAATCCAGCGTGTAAAAAAATTACAACTTTTAGATAAAATTATGATTGAATGAGCCGAAAATTTCAATAATTGCATCACAGCATCTTTAATATTTTCTTTGTGTAATAATTTAGCCTTTGGTTGCTTTTTTTACGTATTCATCTGGTTTCCAAAAAAATATTTTATCTTACAAATGAGAAGTAACATCACGGTTCGTTTATTATATAATATATGCTAAGAAATAATTTTACTCGGTTGTAATTATATAGATAAAAATCAGCTTTATATGAACATGTTGTAGCAAATATGCTTGCTATATTTTCCGTTTATACGATGGTGTACGAGTTGGTTAAAATTATGTTCATAAGGGAAGATTAAATTTGAGGTGCAGTCTCAAGCAGTACCGGTCCCTAGATGACCCCGGGATCATATTTGCTGAAACTTGTTTGATTGCTGAGTTATCAGTTAATTGATCTCAAGGAATCGTAGTTTTTTATCATGGATGGCAACAACCCGCCAAAGATTCATTTATTCCATAAGTGTACTATTTTAGTACAAGAGTACGGTAACTAAATTCCCGTTCCACTTGATTAAATTTGTAGAAAAATTATTGCCTTTAAAGCCTGCATTACATTCTAATTCTAACCGTTTTCTCATATTTCATCTTTTTGGTAAGAACAAAAAAAATTAATTATCAGCCAAACATCGATCTTCGTTACTGTGTTAGAAAAACAATTGGGACACCTTAGAAAAATAAGTTGAACCATGATTTCAATCTTTAATTCTACACAACAAAGAAAATTACCATTTGGAGAGGTTAAATAATCCATTTTACCTGAAGTACTAACCAGCTTTTGAGCTCTTTTTTGTTTATATGATGAATATGAGATGGTAATAAAGGGCATTTCAAATCTTTTTGATAAGTAAACTGCACAGCCAGTACGAAATATAACATAATTGTAGAAGATAGGTTTATATCCGCAATTTTTTTGCAGAAAATAATGGTTTAACTAGAGAATGTACATACAGTTCATATCATTTAGAGCTAATATTTTATACTTCTGAAGACCTGTAACTCACGTATACACATTAAATAATACGTTATTTATATTGGTGACCAGTTTTTTGACAACCACGGATAAAGCAGGTCTGATTTTAGGACTGGGAAGCAGTTTTTGTTCATGACATATTATCCGGTAGTTCATACTATTGATCCCAATGTACTGTACAAAATGCCGTGATCGTAATAAAATTTTAATTATCTGTCGTTTTGTTGACCAATATAGCTAAAAACAGCAAAACCGCAAGACACAATGTAAACAGCTCTTTTTTGTAAAGTAAAAATACGTGCCAATAATAATTTTCAAGCATATCCTCCATTATTTCGGACTCATATTCAGCTACACAGATCCTGTTCAATAGATTTATAAAGAATACAAGGTCCTGCTGCGTAATCTTCTCACCCACCGTGATTTTAGCTGCAACTCTCAGTCCTTTAAACTGTATGGTTGACCAAAGACGACATTTGGGACAGGACATGCAGCTAAGTATATCAATGGCATCTTCGAGGTCTTTACATAACTGCTTTATCTGTGGAAATAATGGTATATCTACGAGAACGTAGGACTTCAGACCCTCAAGCCATTTGTATTGGGTGTTTTCGGTCAGTTCCAGTCTCTTCAACGATGTAAGCAAAAAAAGACGAAGAACTCTAAAATTGTTGATGAACGCACCATTTCTGCACGTTCTTCTGAACAACATCACATTTTTCAGGAAATCGTATCCACATGGCTTGTAGAAAGCCGCCTTGTGTATGTTAACCGATTGATGTATACCGCTTAGCATAATTCTATACAACTTGCTATCATTAACGCCCTTTAATTTCTCCCAAATTTCGCTCGATCCCTTCTTATAGCCTGTGTACGATTCAGGATTCAGTAGTAGATCAACGACCATACGGGATTCTCCACGTTTTTCTGTGCGCTTAAGATTTCCTGCTTCGCTAAATAAACATTCCCAGAGCTTGCACTCTTTCATCAACTCGGGAAACAGACACGTGTTGCCAAAATCCATTTCAATTCTGGAGAATGCTCTATGTTTGCATATTTCATTCAATTGGCGTTGGAAATCGGATTTGTTTCTCAGCAACAGTTTTGCGAAAATTATCGGGACAAAAACTGCCAAAATCATGAAAGGGTCCTGGTTGCTTGCTGATTTTATTTTCTTCCAATTAATTAAAAATTCAGTCTTTTTGATTGTTTCTGAATTTAAGATAAGACGTGTCAAAGGACATTTTTGAAACTGAACAATGCTCAAAAAGATGAAAAACACTTGTTTAAAGAGCTCTTGTTGTCCAAATTATCACATCATAAGCAATACTGTTCTCATGCAAGAGTCCTCATACCAAAGGAATAACGCGTTATGCAAACCAAAATATAATGCAGGATGAACCACAGGAAGCTATAATTCTATTTTTTGAACAGGCCTAATTGGATGAATCGATTCCAAAAACATCCTAATTAATGAACACCGAATATGCTATCATTAAGATACTATACGAAAAAACAGTTAATATTTTAGCTTTTAAAGCATTTCGGCTTATTCTCAAGTGTCTTTATCACGAGAAAAGGCTGTTCTCAGTTAAAACAGCGATTTCACATGAACATGTCAAACGAAAAATTTTGAGATTAATAAAGCTTAATCAGATTATGCGCCTATGACTTGGTATAAATCTAGTTTTACGAGTTTATTCAATAAACATGGTAAGCACTAAATTAAAGTCTTATTTTAGTGTTCATGATAGAATTTTGACGTGTTATGACCCAATGCTTTTATGGTATTAGCACTTATCGTTTCAAAAATCAATCATAATTTCCAGTTTCTCATTTTATGTAAGAATTTGTTTCGTTTTTCACTACTTTTTGGATTATTTGCAGCCCAGAAGAACACAAAAGTTCAACTTTTTTCACATGAGCTAAGGTACTAAACGAAATGTTGATTATTAGGGGTGATATAGCTTGAATTGCAGGAATATAGATGAAATGTGAGAGCAAGCGATAAAGGGTTTTGTACTGTAAAAAACTACATGGTCTATCAATTGTACACGGGTTATGCACCTAGAATAAACGTTTCACATAATAAGGCAAGGTACGCCACCAAAATATGAAATAGCTAAAGTTAGCTGGTAAACCTTGCCGTATTAAGTCATACGATTAGAAATGAAAGTTCTCATCAATTGTAATGATCAGGAAATGATATATAATCACTAAAAAAATTTTCAAAATCTGGTCTTGTTGATCAATCATGCTCTACTGTATCGTAGGTTCAATTTACAAAGTATGAATAGACCGATAACCTGCAACTTTCTTAAGAAAGCTCCATAGACAGGTCACAACAATATTTGTTAGCGTAATTGTAGGCAGTCTCATCGCTATTTACTGATTCATGTAATTTTTTATCATTTTTGAGTATTTACTGATCAAAAAATTGTCTTCATTGATTGAAACGATAAATCGGCTTTCATGAGATAAATACCGGTACAAAAACAAAATCAAGGTTATAAACGTGAATGCAACTGTCCAAGATATGTTTAAAACAACGATAAAGCATTTCCATAGAACACCATTGAATGAACAATAAATTTGAGCTGAACTATACGCCATGTGAGAATCATCCAACTCATATCTTTAATTATACGTAAGATATCTCGGCGTGGCCGAAAACTTAGCATATCCCTGAATTACCTTTTCTACAGCATTAAGAAAGTCTTTCTCAGTTGCCGCCTTTCTTCGTTCTCTTATGGCAAACATCCCTGCCTCCGTGCAAACGCTTCTGAGCTCGGCCCCCGTAGCATTCGGGCACAGTCGTGCGATCAATTCGTACCTTATGTTTTTCTCCACGCTCATGACACGCGTGTGTATTTTGAGGATCTTCACCCGGCCTTCAAGATCAGGTAAAGAAAATTCGACCTTCCGGTCCAGGCGGCCGGGTCGTAAAAGCGCAGGATCTAAGGTATCAGGCCGATTTGTTGCCATGATCACTTTTATGTTTCCTCTGTTATCAAAACCATCCAATTGATTTATCAACTCGAGCATCGTTCTTTGTACTTCGTTGTCATCACTCTCAGCGTATCTTGTGCCACCGAACGCATCCACCTCATCAAAGAAGATAATGCATGCCTTTTTCCTCCTGCCAAGTTCAAATATTTCTCTCACCATGCGAGCGCCCTCTCCCACATACTTTTGCAAAAGCTCAGATCCTATAACGCGTATAAAACAGGCATTGGTCCTGTTTGCTACAGCTTTAGCCAACAACGTCTTTCCAGTACCTGGTGGGCCGTAGAGAAGTACACCTTTTGGTGGATCAATTCCAAGATTTACAAATTTTTCCGGGTTAAGTAGTGGCGCCTCCACAACCTCTTTTATCTTCTCTATCTCTTCCTTGCAGCCACCAATATCGTCGTAAGTAACATTGGGCTTTTCTTCAACTTGCATCAACGTAACGGATGCATCAATTTTTCTTGGAAGCGGCAGTATGATCTGGTACTTCATACGATCGACGCCCACTCTCATACCCTCCTCAATCATTGTCTTGTCCACATCCTGTCCTCGTCCCACTATAAATTTCGCCATCTGTCTCAAATTGACCATGTAGCAGTCCTCATTTTGTTCGTTTACGAGTATCTTACACACTCTGGCAACCTGCAGGGTATGATCGCTTTCTGCCCGCTTTCGATCACCTTCTAAATCCCACGTTGTGGGTGGTGCCAATCCAGTTTCTGCTTCTTTAGTCCCCAGTTTTACATTTACCCTGTCGAACGCTTCGTTGATCAGTTTCTCAATCTTCTGTATTTCATCCGCATAGTAATTCTGGCCATAATGCAAGAATTCATCCGCATCCTTTCCCAGTTCCAGCTCACGATCATTTGTTGACATTCCGGGGTCCTAAACATTTTCAAATATAAATCAAACAATGATCCATGAGAAAAAGCGAAAGAGCAGAACAGTAGCCAACAGCAAAGCACTGAGTGTCTGCAAAAGATCTAACACTGCCGTTTTTGTGTTTTTGCGGAGGAAAACATTCTTTTTGAACCTGCTGATACGAATTCTGAACCAACAATAAGATAAATATTGCACTAGAACGCATAGAGTAGTAATAGAATGCCTCTATACGGAACAAGGGCAAATCCTGAACCGTATTCACCGATAAATACAATGAAACCGTGGCGTTACTTTTAACCCGTTTAAGACATGATCTGATCAACAACTCACAAGTTCTTCTCTATATAGGATAATTCCAGATACACTGCGTAATTTCTGCTACCTGTGGATGGTTATGAATTTTTAAACATGAAAGTTCTAAGTACGGTAAGACCTATCTATTAAACTATTTTGTACTTCAACACAGCGCTTAATAAAGTTTATTGAGTGTATTTGACAGCAATTTGACACAAAATACTGCTGAGATATGAGGATATTCGTTACTTAGCATACATTTATTGAGATGGTTTGGAACAAAGTATTCGAGCTGGCCGATAAAAAGTACATCTTTGGAAGTGCCCATGTATTGCGGATATTCGTTGTTACGAAATGTGCTCGTTTGTTCTTTCCGTACTCTCTCATATCATTGTCGCTGGAGACAAATAAACGGTGTTCAAGGTGGGTCTCATTTCGTTAAACATGACTATTACTACAATCCCGGCCGATATTTATTATGTGCTCCCAATACGTAGAAATTCTGTCAATGTGCATCGTGAACAAGCGTACCGGTGCCAGCAATTGCTATCAATTTTTTCCTTTTATGAAGGGGTCAATCCAAGTAGGAACCATCAGCGAATCGGCCAAACAACAGATACATGATACCGCTTAAGTATTTATTTAAAGAAAATATTTCATCATATAAGCTATTATCTTGATGAACACATTCACTTTGTTATCTCCATTAACTTTTTCTGAATGTTTTTCAAGATATCTGATTTCTTGCTCGAACTGCTTGATCAGCTGCTCGTCCCCCGTTATGAGCACAAAATTTAGCTCCTTGTCTTTTCTGTAGCTTCTTTCATTGAAATTGCTTGATCCTATCACTGTTATGGCAAAGTCTTCTGCGAATGCCCAGATACCTTTAAAGTGGAAGCTTGCCTTTTTCCTGTAAAATGTTCTAAGATCAGCCTTGTCCAGAATATTTTCGGTGTTTATCATGTAGTAATCATACAGCTTGCACACCAACTTGTCAAGAAGCGAGCTTCCACAAAAAGTATTGCAGCTTGCGTCAGGAGAGATTATTATTGTGTCCTTGGTTTTGATGTGCTTCAAGTATATTTCTGGAAAATTTATATATGCTGTTGATATGTAGTATTCAACGAAGTTGTGGCCAAAAATGTTTTCTATGACAGAAAGCTCTTCCGATTCACTGTATGGAACCACATAAGTATTGCTTAATCCTAGACTCTCAACTGATCTGGCAACATTATTCGCTGATATCATATAATGTTTGCCTATATCAGATTTAGGCCGTCCCTTTACCCCTTCTACATGCTTGCTCCCATAAAAATGTTCGAATACATTCTTAATCAGGTAGTCAGCGAGCTTGGCATCGTATATGCTGAAATATCTGTCCAATCTGTTTGTAAAATATTTATCTTCAAGATTAGCACCTGAAAGTATAATCAAATCGTCGAATATATACACCTTAACGTGCAGCACGGAGAAAAGCTCTTTGATGCAATTTGGCAATAACGAATAGCTTCTTCTATTCGCGTAGTATACAACATCTTCAATTTGATACTCCTTCAGAAGAGCAAATATCTTTTCATTCTGCTTGCATCTGTTATAGTCAATTATAACCTTCGTCTCCATATTTTTTTGTTGGCGTGTCTTGATCTCTGCCATCACTTCTCTTGTTTTTTGCTCGTTTCCGAAGTACAACGTTATTATAAACGCGCTTTTTGCTGTTTGTAGATTTTTCACAATTTCTCTGTGGAACACTTTAGCACTTTTTAAATTCCTGAGATTGGTTATTTTGAAGAGAGGCATACCTTGGAAGTTAGCAAGAAACTCACGCATGGCAATAATAAAACAGTTCCTTTTAAAGTGATCAAATACGATGCCATTTAATTAAAAGTGTCTTTTTAAGGTCAAACAACCAATAGGGAAAAAAGTTGGAAAACCTCTTATGCCACAACCTTCGATCTCAAACAACTAATACCACATCTCTCATCCCTTTATAGTTTTATTCTACGCCAGTTGTCATTGTAAAACGAATCGTGCCTAATCATGGGCGGCAGTCAAGTTATTCACGGTCATCATACTTGGACAGTTGATTCATGTTTGAGGTGCACCAACTCATTTGCAGTGCTCTTATGTAACATTTTGTATAAAAATGCTTTGATGTAGAGTTCTTGATTAATTTTTACAAATCAAATTAAAAAACGCAATATGGTAGATTAAAGGATCGTTGGTTCATCGATGAATGGGAAATAATAAAAAAGGAATAAAACGAAAAATAGCAAGGATTGTGTTTAAAATAACTCACCAGATATGATCATTACATGCCAATAAAGGCAGATCATGTAGCTAAAAAAATGGCATCCCATTGTGGTAACACCAACATGTATACCATTTAGTGTATTAAAATGATCATTTTAATAAAGATATTTTCCACCACGAGTGTATAACAATCAATTATTCATGGTTTGTTATCCCAAATGGGTAAAGCAGTCGCACCTGATCCTTAAAGTAGAAAGAACCCTTTGGTCATTGAAATAGCTATACCCAGTTTGTTTCTCAGTTTTTCTTCCGATGAATATTCGGGCAACAGCAAAGTGTTAAAACATGTCTGTGAAGATGGCAGCCTGTCTGTGTCGCAGCCGTTTCTGACAATTATCAGCTTCCAGTTTTCTGTACATGTGACAGGAACTCGTTCATTGCCCGTAATAAACATCAGCAGCTTCTTCTTGTCTTCCAGTGAATATTCCTCGAAGATTTTCCAAAATGTCTTGACAACGAGAGAATCCTCGGTGAACCCCGAATATACTGCCGTTTTTTTAAGCAGCTGTACATTTATGACGTTACTGCCAACTATGATTTTCTCTAGCTCACAGGGCTGGAGAAAACTGATTGTTCTCAACTTGATAACGTGGAAAAATCCCTTTTTGATGTTCTCTATGTTCTCCTTCATTTCAGAGTAAGTCAAATACTCCACATACTTTTCCACAAAAAGTTCCTTATTCTTCTCTGTGAGCACTACGTTCTTTCCTCTGGGTATGAGTTCGATCGACTTGGTGTTTCTCGTGATGGAGAAACACTGCTCAAGAACACATAGCTCCTCATCGTTCATTTGAAGTATTTTCTTGAGTGAGTGGCAAATTTCTGGCTCAATTTCCATCAAGTCGTCCAGTTCAACTTTCTTGTTCAAAAATATTTTAAAAAGAAACGTGGGAAAAGGCAAATTCAGCACCACGTCGTTGTAAAGCGCTACACCTATCAGTCTGCCCACTACCTCGTATCTGCTGTTCTTTTTACCCTCTGTGAACCAAAGTAGGTTGTTTTGGATGGTGAACAGAAAACTGTCGTGAATAAGCTCTTCGCTTACCAATTGAAAGAACTCCTTGGTTATTCCTCCTGAATCTACGCCCTCTTCTCCTTTAAATGTGATCTTAATTTCTTTCCTGATGTCATCAAAATTTGTTTTCGAAAAAATTTTAAAGACGTCCTTGTAAAGTGTGTTTCTATTTACAGTGATAAAAAAGTACGGCGATGTTTTGCCAATGAATAACGCCCTAAAAAACGCATCCTGCAGCTTGTTCTTCATCATATCACTATTTTCTGATTTTATGAAATCTGCTTTGAGATGCAGCGGCAAAATAAAAGGATATTTCACGATTGCCTTGTAATTGGCCTTGTGCAGCCTGATTTCTTCCTTCAAATTCTGGCTCTCGCAAAATTTCTCTAGATAAAATTCTCTGAAGGAAACGATACGCACCCTCTCGTTTATACAGAAAAGAATGTTAAAGATGTTCAGCAATTCCTCTATTTTCTTGGATGATCTGATTGTATCGAATTCATTGCTGTTAAGAAACTTTGAGATTGTCTGTATCAGATTTATCAGATCATGTTCTGTGAATATATCGTTGAACAGGCAGTTCATGCAGCTTTCCTCTTCGGTACCCTGGCCATGCCCATCACTCCCGGGAAATACTGCGTGTTTCTCTGGGTCTAGTTCTAATTCCTTGCACAATTTGTCGATGTTCAAGAAAATTTCTGAAATGTTTTCAAAAACGTCGTCCTTCAAATCAACTTTAAGGAGTATTTCTGAGATCAACCGTATAATTATGTGCGATAGAATGTTTTCGTTGTAGTTCACGTATTGGTTCAACAGCATGCTGAACACGCCCTCTATCAGTATCTTCTCCTCCTCATTAAAGCTGTTTTTCTTGAAAAACGAACAAAAGTTGTGCCTGGAAAGCGAATCTGGCAGAATCGATTTTTTGTTCGTTGTTTGGTTCACAACATAAACGTAAAAATCTATTATCGGGCAACTTTTACCGTTAAAATTAATTTTAGCAGACTCTTTGTTCCTATTCGTTGAGCACAGGAAATATTCACCGTAATTTGCCAATATGTCGCTTATTTTCAGCAGACTTGCCTTAGACATGTCGTTCCTACAGAAATACATTTTGCACTCGCTGTTGTCGCATCCAATGTAGAGCTGTCTGACGTAAAGATCCTGTAGTTTAGTGTTCGACATATGGGTTCGATGTAGTCCGCCACGTTTTTCGAAGTATTTTTTAATGTAAATTAAAGGAGAAAAAAAGACAAATTAACAAATCAAAAAATAGAAAAAATAAAAAAATTATCTAAATAGCACGGCGAGCAAATATTCTCAACAGAGAAATTATTTGATCTGATGTGTTTTGGGCTTATGCACGTTTCTGCCGCCAAATTGTGCATAGAATTTGTCGTAAAAAACCATGAAGAATCAAAAGCATGATTGGTCAAGTATATGTTGAATATTGGTACGTTATGGCTGCTTTAAGCGGTTTTAACAAATAAGTTGGAAAAATATGTGATCAATGCGGTTCCGTCCGATAAGTTACGCTTAATCGAGTTGAAGCCCTCATGTATTGCATCGTAGTAGATGGATAACAACATAATTAATATTGCCAACATGTTTAAAACGTTGAAGATAGTTATATGAAATAATTAGTCCTATATTTAGAGTAATTATCTGCGCTTGCACCATATCAGATCACTGTTACGAGCGCACAATTTAACGGTAATTAAAGCCATCGTAATTCTGATTTTGAGTAAATTACTTGTTGATATAAAGCACCGACCTGACAAATGATTTAACAATCGATACAACATTTTGAATAAAGCATGGGTATTAATCAATTTAAGGATGTTGCGTGTGTTTGTATTTCAAATCCGTATACGGCCATCAAACTATGTGTTAACACAAGCCAGAACTTCATAGCCTTGGAATTGCGGTATTTCAAAAAATTTTGATATTAAATCAGGTTCTTAACAATTGATAAAATGAACAGCATTCGTTACGTGATCATTCAATAATGGAATGGGTGAAGCTGAGCAAATTAGAGTTATTTTGGCCATCGAGGATGAAAATGCACATAGATATGTAATTGTGCCATCATACGATTTCAAGTGTAGAGCAGAGCTTTTATTTCATCGAAAAACGTAATATGATGACATCCAAAACAAGTATAATTGGGAATAACACGTCATTTTAACTCTTAAATGGGAAACATTAAAGTACTCGATTAGTCCCAAATACATTTTCGTTTATTATGAGGAAGAATTAGTTGTGCTCTTTTAATACATAATTTGATCAACGTGAGATTATCGCTTTGTGACTGTGTTGGGACACACCATGATGTGAGTTCTTCATTTATACATATTGGGAGACTTTGTTAATTGTAAGGCAATCAAAACGCACTTTACCTATCGATGCGTTCATTTTCAACTATTGTACGACCAAGGGTTTTACCGCTACGCAGACGCACCGTTAACGATAGCTTGTATTTTTAACTCGTTTATCTATGAAAATAAACATTCATTATTACCATCTATCAACCCAGATACACCATAACAGAGGCTGAGCAGAACATACATTGATATTTTGGAATAACACAGTTAATTAAACCATGTTGAATACGATTAAAGCAAATATTGGTAATAAAAAGACGAAAAAGCGTAGTTATTGTAAATGCTGCTGCCAAAGCATAACCACACCCAATGTGTTGGGTATAATATGTTCCTTAAAATAATGTAAAACAAAACAACTATTATTGTGAAAGAGTATGTTTAGTACTGTAAATATACGCGATCTATTGTTTCACACTCTATTGAAGAACCTCGTGTTGCTTATCAGCCACTCCTTCTCCTCCTTCTCATACAGATACTCACCAAGAATATTTTGCACATTCTGGTTGTACCTGTTCAAGTAATCGACCTCCTCATCATTAAGCAACGAAACATCGATAAGGTTCAGTTGAAGAGGAACAAATGTCATGTTCTGTAGGAAAATGTTGCCATTGTAAAGACTTATTACAGCATCCTCAATTCGTACCCCGTAACTTCCCTCTTTGTAGTACCCAGGCTCGATCGTAAATATCTGATGAGCTTCGATGGTAGCGTCGAAACGTATTTGTGGCGGTGACTCGTGCACATAAAGTGCAGTTCCTATGCCATGACTTGTTCCATGTCCATAGTTCTTATTTTCGGGCCACAGGTAGTACCGAGGTAGGTCTTGTATCAGACCAGCTATATGATTCTTTGGGCCCACCAGCCTCTTTGCGAGCAGTTGTCCCTTCAACACGTTCGTGAAATCGTGTATTTGCTCATCGCTGGGTGTGCCCAAGTGAATTGTCCGCGAGATGTCAGTTGTAGCGAATATGAATTGAGACCCACAATCTATCAAGATTAAGCTCTTGTCATCCACTGTTGTATCACTTGCTGAGTGGTGCACGATTGCACCGTGGTTTCCGTATCCAACGATTGTCGAGAAACTTGGAAAGAGAAAACCAGTCTTTGCAATGTTCCATTCTCCATTTTTACCGCTAATTTTGTTATTTTCTACGCTTGGCGATTCCACAGGTGAGCTGGAAAACATATTCTTATTAATTCTTACCATGTTTTGCAGCAGACTCTTGTTTTTTTCGGTCAATCTGCCGGTGAACAGCTCAAAAAATAGGTGCACTAATTCTTTCGAACCGATGGTAACCAGCAATGGATTCACATCTACTTCGTCTTCTATCTGTCTAGCACTTAAATTCATGCTTTTTTCCTCATTCTTGTCCGTCTTGGTTTCTCTTCCTCTACCAAGCACCAACTGTGACTTTATCTCCAACAATTTGTCACTGATACCTATTTCCGTAATTCTGTCCTTATTCTTGTTCAGCCACGTGAACAATTTGACAAGTGCTACGCCATCCATTATTGCAGCCTGAAAAAATCCCATGATCTCGTTCCTGTTCTTCACGCTCTTCAACTTTTCCACCAATTTATTTTCCTTCGTGCGATGCTCGCCTAGAATGTCAACTATGCTAGCATTCACTCTATCAGACACGTACACAGTGTTTTCGTCAGTTTGTTTCAAAAACTCGTAGAACTCGTCATATCTCCTGAGCCCGATGTCTCGAGGCACCTTTGCATCGGTAAATATTACCAAACTATCCTTTGTGATGTATACATACGCATAGAACACCGTGTTATTAGCAATCTCTCTGCCTCTTAGATTCAGCAACCACGCGATCGAGTCCAATGCGCTCAAAATTATTGCTTCATCTTTCTTTAGACTCTTCTGCACGATTCTTATTTTGTTAGAGTGTGTCAGCCCCGGTATCAAATCAGGTTCAATCATTTCATCATACTCGTATTTGTAGCTGTCCCTAAATAGTTCGTCAAATAGTTTCTTTACTTTATCGTTTTTTAGAAATGTCATGTATTCGTCAAAGGCGTACTTTTCCAGATCGACAATGCTACCCGGGTTTCTCTTCGGTCTATCCTTCCAGATGATCTCAACCAGCTCCTCCTCGACCGGCACCAGAACTAATTTAGTCTCTTCAAACTCCTCACTCATTTGTTTATAGCGCTCGTGCGATATCAGCCGTAAGCACACTCCAACCCGACCCTCCCCAATTGTGTCTTTCAAAAATTCTAACACTGACTTGTCCTCATCTATTCTCATCATTTTGAACGGCTCTACAAGCTCCTTCTTGGCCTGCAGGTAGTACCGACTATCTGTGTACAGAACACATTCTGTCTTGGTAATGACGGCCGTTCCGTTACTTCCCGTAAATCCCGTCAATCTTTTAACGCGCATGTCAGCATCCGATATGAATTCGTTGAGGTGCTCGTCTGTGTGGTTCAAGATGTACGCATCAAGATTATTGAGTGCTAGCTGGGTTAGCAACGCATTCAGGAGATTCATTTTCTCTGTTTATGTCCTGTTCTTAACATACAGCACTATCCATATTCTGAAACATTGTGTTTCAGGAGCAAAGCCGTACAATGATAGGTGTACACCGGCATAGAATCTTCGGACCAGACTGAGTATAAAAGCGTTTTTATCTGGCCAAACACTCCTGATTTATGTACTTTTATATTTTTTACCGGAAATAAAGCACCAATAATCTCCTGCACGGCTTATCACTGAACTTGTTTATCATCGGTCAGCAAATAGTTGTACACTGCTATTGAGCGCTTTGGTGATGTGAGCAGTAAAAAGGATTCGTGCGCTCATCTTTGCTTTATTCATATGGTGCTTTCAATCATAGCGATCAAATTGATCAAAACATGTAATTTTACTACGATTTATGAAAGTTACCTGCTAAATGATAGGATGAAGAGCAGCATATCAATAAGTTAAAGGAGAGGTATGTAACGTGATTAAGATGAAAGCACGATGAGAATCTTTTTGTTATGTTCTTTAGCATGTGTTGTGGAATATTGAGAAATTTTCCTTAGATCATAAGATGCGGTAAAAGGATATTTCCTCCTTTTTGTTGAACGAGTTGCTTAGCGTACAGACATTCGCTGGAAATCCTGTTCAATTGTGAATCCACGGAACGATTAATCTGCCATGATGCCGCTGCAGAAGAGAGCACATTTTTGGCGACAAGGACGATAACACAACGATTTACTGGAAAAGTTAAACGATGAGCGACTTTACCGCTGGCACTTAAACTATTTGTGTGATTAAACCTGGATTATGGCACGGTTTGTCATTCAAATCTTTACAACTTATTTAGATCACTCCATTCCGTTTCGTAAAAATTATGTTTATTTTTCTCCTCATACAGCAGCACTTAAACAATACACGTTCTGGTTCGCTGAGGGAATTACTCCATTCTTATTTACATTTCTAGTAAAATTGTCATTCTTTCCCTTTTCTACTGCAATGCCTTTTCCGTGCTGTGATCCTTAGGTTTGTTCTTCTGCCTAGACCAGGGAATAGATGAGGATGAACAGACATTGCCTTATGCCAGTGTAAATTATGACATAGGAACTTAATGTAATATAATGAATTACGAACCGATAGTATACAATCAAGAGAATTACAAGGCGTACCGAGTACGAGTAAGGTATATTTGTGAGTTATTGATTTCTAAACACATCATTGTACGCGATATGAGCTATCTTAAGCATGGTCGTTTATAGAATGTGGGCAAATCGTAAAAGTGGCAAAAAAGTGAAACATGACTGACTCAGAGGGCACTGAGAATTGGATATGAGAATATCATATGGTGTATTCATGATATCTAGCAGGTTTATACCACTGTGTTCCTATGTTATCATAATACTATGAAAACTATATTGCACGTATCTTTGGTAGCTACGGGACTATTATAGTAGTTTAGTGATTAGTAGTGAAATAATTCGTGTTCACAGTATGACTAAGAAGAGTTTGATAAGCCTACCTAATTCAGACTTTCATTGCTAGAATGAAGAAACAGATGCACATCCTGGTTCAAGTAGGAATACGGCTGCTTGACCACTCAAAAACATTTTGTAGTTCACTTACATAATAACAGTATTTATTAAATTATTGTGGAATATCCTGCGATTTTACGCGCTCGTCCATCGTAAAGATCGTAATTTTCACCGCCACCCTGAATGTTAACTCAGTATGTTTTTGTACGCAACGATCTAAAGCAGTACAATCGTGGACAGTTGATAGTACAAGGAATACATAGCAGTACAGCTGCGCTGTTCAAGTTCAAAGATCATCCTGATACGGTAGGCTACACCAGTGATTTGGAGAATATGACCACCGTGGTACTAATGGTAAGTTAAAATATTTAATTAGGCAGACGAGCACGAACTCAAGGATGTTGAACAGTTCCTTGCTAATAATCGGTATGATTATCATACATGGGTTGAAATGCCCGAAAATATCGTTACCTCTGTGGCCATGCGACCAGTCAATCTGAGGCACGATGAAAGACTGAAAGCCTTTCTATTTAGATATAAGCTATTTAAATGATGGAACGAGATGAATAAATACGTGTTATTGTTTTGCAGGTAAAAATAAAATTGATGGGCTTTCTTAGCGCCGTTCACGCCACGGTTTCTGTAGAAGAACATGGTGGTAGATTCCACACTAATTGTTTAACATTACACTGCAATTGATTCTTTTTATCCCACGTAACGAATTGTACACGGATGATAGAAAAGAACTATTGATGTTTTTATCGTTTCAAAAATACCGATTTGCCGGCCAACTTTCAAAACGCATTTATTGTATTGAATGTCATTGTGTTATTCCAAACAGTGCCAATTCGGTACTGTGTTTACTGAGATAGTAGTGCTCTGTTCCGGTATAACAATTACTTAAATCGTGATACAAGCTAATTGCAGTTAAATAACATTTATTAACGTGGATAGATGCACTCTTAACACGCAAAACATCTTCCTAAACGTGTAAAGGTCATATCACAATAACGGTTCATATTAATGCCGGTGTACGAATTTTGGCTACAGTTTGGTTGGTACCGCACATCGAAGAACTTTACAATGATCATCTTTTCCTATCTACGCTTCTTTTCATTTTTTTTTCCATCTTTTTCGAAAACTTTCTGTAAAAACGCAGGTAATCAGACATGTTTTCACTTTCTTTATCTTTTAAAAAGGTGGAGTAAAGTGCCTTTACATCATCCCTCCGTTTTTCATCCAAATCAAAAACGATTCCAAGGATGTTCGTCTTCATTGCGTTCACGTAATCGTCGTTACACGGCTGTTCTATACAATTTATCAGCATCACGATCACACCGTAATAACTCGTCAGATGGACAGCGGTTCGCAACCTATATTTCATACAGACATAGCACACAAGTGAAACGTATATTCTCGAATATGTGTCCATAACCACTTGATCACCATCTTTATCTGATTGGTCTGCTTCGCATGCCCTCTCCTCTTTATCTTTGTTCCATTCCAGTGCGTTCAAGAAGTACTTGATGAAGACGTTTTCCGTCTTTTCTACTTCCTTGTCGAACGTAAGAACGAATGAGACAAGGAACGGATTAAATTCGTAGTACTTCAGATTTTCGAGATTCGTGAACACGTTTTTTCATGAATATGATCTTTTCGCCGTTGGCCAGTGCATCGTAGGCAGCAATTACAACTTTCTCCTTCTTGCGTACAATTCTGTTATTTCTATCATTGAGATGTAGCACAAACATAAATGACAGTAGATCGAGATGAGCATCCGTGTATTTCAGATCTTCCATGTTCCTGGCAAATGCACTCGTTGCCAGCAGGACCAATGAAGGTCCTTTATCCACCAAAAACTTTTTGTAAAGTTCCACATTTGCTTTAAAGTCATTTTGATCCAGAAAACAGCGCTTCAAGGCAAATTTTATCAAAAACACGTAATTTTTTTCGTCAAAGGATGGATCATTCTTCACTGCTGTTGCATCTGATCCGTTCTTCGACTTTGAGCCATTCATTTTCACGGTATAACCCATTGTCTCATTGTTCTTCGATTTTGAGCCATTCATTTTCACGGTACAACCCATTGTCTCATTATTCTTCGATTTTGAGCCATTCATTTTCACGGTACAACCCATTGTCTCACCGTTCTTCTCTCCGCTCATCGCTTGTTGCAAATTTCGCTCCGCATTTTCGTCTCTTTTACATTTCGATACACTACCATCTGCAACCCTCCGTTCATCCGTGTTCTCTTCTTGCTGTTTATCCACGTTTCTCTGCTCACTCGCCCTATTAGATAAGTCGCCATTCCCTGATTTGCAGTGCACATCTCCGCATGTGTTTACAGCAGTTACACCAATACGAATCAGCTTGTCCAGCTCCAGCTTCATCAACAATCGTTTCAAATTTTTAAGTACACCATAGAAGTCGGAACACATAGAAATGTCTGCAATAAGCATGTCTGTGTTAAAGCACTGATCGTCATAAACCATGTCCAACAGCCGGTACTTACTCGCATAGAACGTGCTGAGTACACGCCTGTATTTTCGCATCGACAGATTGACCGGCTTTCCATACTTCAAGTTGACAATGTCATTGTAGAACTGATTGTAGTTAAACGCTCTCAGTCCCTGATGATATGTCACACGGTACAGGATACGTACAAGCTGCAAATTGACTGTCAAACAGACAAGATCCTCTTCCAGATGTGCACGTATCTTGTTGTACTTGTATATTATATCATACGAATTGGCGTATAAACCGGTTAAAAGTTTGGAAAGACCAAAGTTGTCTTTTTCATACTCGCATATCCGTCCCACAGCTATCACAATTTCGTTAAGATCCTCCAACCCAAGGAACACGTAATTTTTTATGTCGGTCAGAACACCGCACAAAAACGACAACACAGACGTAACATAATCTTGATGGTCGTGCACCGCTCTTGGTTCATACTTTATAACACATCCCAATAGCTTTGCACATTCAATGACACTCTTATCAATTGATTTCTGCCTTGCACATTTCGATATCTTTTTTATAACCGGGTACAAATTCTTGAAGCACAGCGAAGCGCTGTCCATCAATCGTATGACCAGTGCAATTTCCTGTCTTCTGTACTTTTCTTTAAATATGTTCTTGCAGATGCTCTTGTAGTACTGGTACACCAAGCTGTAACTAAAATATCTCTTGAGTTCTTCCAGCTTGGTACCGTTTATTTTGATGATGGAGGCACAATGTATCATCGCCTGCACATCGTTCTCCTCTGCGTGCCGCATCATCAGCCAGTAAACTCGTTCGTCCAGGTTTTTTATCCTTAAGTACTTCTCTCCTTTGACTTCGCGTACTAAGGACGACAGTCGTTCCATAAACAAGCTATTTATGAACGGTTTGTTCGTATATATCCGTAGTAAAAGACTGAGTGAATGAAACGGATCCTTAATTTCCATTATTTTGAAACAAAGCTCTCTCAGCTGCGTGCTGTTCTTATCTGCTATCAAAGCCAAGAAATCGCTGTTCGTGCACTTGTTGTCATATTTTATGATTTCACTCGTCGTGAACATATCGCTCATATTTCCTGTGAACATCGGCTTGATAAGTTGGATTAACACGGTCTATGAAACGGTTTTGGAATGAACCAATGCACAAGTATGGAACAACAACCTATCAAATAAGCAGCAGATGCGTATTTGCTGCTGTTCCCGTCATTAATCAATTCGTTTGTACCTTCAAGACTGCAAATATTTTGTTGTTATGAGAAAGCAATTTGTCCAACGCTTGTTCATGGATGCTTTTTAAGGAGGTTGCATCATGCTATCGAATACCTTTGTGTCCCCGTTAACATTTTTGAATGTTTGCAGCACGATTATTCAAATTTATGTAACAGCAATACCTGCCATGCCAAGCATCACTGGTCTAATGGTAGAATTGCTGCTTGCCATGCAGTAGGTCCGAGTTCGATTCTCGGGTGATGCATCTGCTTTTTGAACTGACAATCCCATTCTACAGTTATTTCTTTTCATCAGGATGAACAGCGTACATTACTAGGTCTGCTCCTGGTACTACCGGCACGGCATTAAGAATCGCACAGAAGAGATACCCCGAGTGTTCCTGCCATCAACAACCCTTGCATGTAATCCATTAACCTAGAATGATCACATACAACGTATTCAAATTCACAATACCTGGTGGATATGCTTCGGTAAATCCCATCCTCAAACGCACACGGGTAAAATTACAGAAAAGCGATACAACACAAGGCGTACCGCATCTGCACCTAAGGTCACAATACAGTAATTGATGCACGCCACTACGAACAAAATACATCGAATAACCGCTTTAATCAGCTGCATCCGCCCATCAAACAGCAATCCTCTTCTTCTCCGCATTAGGCTCAATCTCCCCATGCCTTATCAAATTGACCACCTTCTCAATTTCAAGTACCTCCTCATCCCCAAACACACTAAACACGTACTCCAGGTCTGTACCGGTCAGCTGCTCGCATCTCAAATACTTCATCAACTCGCTCTTTCTGACCGTTACATTATCATCACTAAAACTCAAAAGCAATTTTCTGATGCACTCTTTCGAGCTCATGCCGATAAACTTGTCCGACATAGCGGCCAGTAACGCATAAAACCCGATATCCTTCTCCAGGTTCTGGAACTCGTGCAACTGTTCATGGTTTACAATGGTAGGCAGGAAGTTGTTGAGATCGCTGGTGTCGATCTTATCGTCCGGTGGGTTGTCGATCATGTTGAACACCTCTTTAAGGGATGATATTTGTGTCTGTGTGAGCATTGAGAACACATTACTTGGTTGACGGCGTCTGTTTATGCGTTGTCTCATGGGGGTGTTTGTTTTTTTTGGAAGTTCTTCTTTTTTACTGATAAGGTGATAAAACAAGGAGAGACGTGGTGAAAATGAGGCTTTAAATCGTGGCGCTTCGTTCTGCGCACAAGACAGAGACTTGAAAATTAGAAAAAAATATAAAACGGAGCAATGCACACGCTTGAACAAGAAACATATTCATCCCTAGAAATGATACACTAATCGAAAAAGCTACACCACACAACCATCCTAAGAGTGAAAGTACCGGTAAAATATCCAAATACATAATTATTTGCGGTGTAGATGATTTGGTAATTTTATTTATAATCATGGTACATATACCATGATTAGTACGCCATATTAACAGCACAAATGGTAACAGATGATGCTGGCACACTGCCTAGATGTCACGATTATTTTTATTTAAGTTTCTAGACCGCATCTCTTGTCCATTCATTACCGCAAAGTATTTTATAATTATTCGTAATCCTAGTACCTTTGCTTTATTTAGTGTTTGCTTGTCCATTGCATCCATAGCCTGCACTTTAACACATCAG